ACACACGAGCTCACACACTCACACACACACACACACACACACACACACACACACACACACACACACAGTTTCTTCAGCGCGCGAACGGCGGCGGTGGTGGCGGAGGATCAATGGCAGTTGGGCTACGGTCCTTTTCCTTACTTGTTCGCCCTCCTCCCCCGCTTCCTTTATCCTTTTATTCCATCTTTGTATCGTGTTTGCTGTCCGTGGTGGGCCGCGGTTGAGAGGAGGTAGGGTCCCGAAGGTGGGGGTCCTGCCTTTTTGGACTGTTGCTTGAGCCACGTGAGGCGGCCATATCACCGAGCAAGATGCCAAGTCCGCGGTTGCGCCAGGCGACTAAGCGGGTTTCGCACCCCATGACAATTCGCCTCTTGCCACATCATCAGAAGGATGTACATGAGGGCTTGCGGCGACAGACACAAATGCTGCTGGGCAACTTTTTGCCCGCGCTCAACGGCGTGCCAACCCGCATTACGGCGATCCGCATGCATCACGACCACGGCATGATCCACGAGGACATGGCCGCGATCCACGTCAAAGTTACGGTGGACTTTGAGGTCTTCCAGCCTAGCGTGGGCATGCTCCTCCGCGGCGTCGTCAATAAAATTAGCGAATCCCATGTCGGCGTACAGATCAACGACCAGTTTAACGCTTCAGTCGCCAAGGCAGACCTGCCCCGCGACTACCAGTTTAATGCAGCAGAGAACACTTATGACCATGCAGCCACGCCAGAACGTCAGCTGACCATCGGCTCCAAGGTGATTGTCCTCGTGGCCGACCTCATGCGCAGCTCGCACGGCGCCATCAATATCAAGGGACAAATGAACCAGCCTGGCACAGGGTAAGTCGTACGCGCGAGAGACCAGTGTCCGACAAGTGTTTGACTGCAGATTGGAATTTGCTCCCGTGCACCCAACTCATCTCACTTGGCAATCCTGCAGACCTGATTTCCGGGAAGAGGAAGAGGAGGACGAGGTGCCGGCCGTCGAGACCGTCCGCGTGAGTGTTCTTTTTTTGTCAACTCAACCCCAATTCGCTGTGAGCTGTTTCTTCTTTGTGTGTGTGTTTTTTTCCTCCGCCTCACGTCCTCGGCTGGCTTGATTTAGACACCTGTACAGAGCCAGAGCGCCACCCCCCAGGTTGAGGGTAGCAAAAAGAAGCACAAGAGCAAAAAGAGCAAGGAGGACGCGGCCCCAACACCAAGCAGCAGCAAGAAACGCGGTCATAAGGACGTTGCCTCCGACACCCCAACCAAGGCCAAGAAGAGCAAAAAGGATAAATCCAAAGCCCAATAATCAACTCCCCAATGTGTGGTTTCAAAGAAGCTTGATGAGATGACCTCTCTCAAAGCTTGTTGAACTCGCAAGCCGCTTACCCGCGTTCGACCACCCACTTCTTGGCAGTTGGCCTTTGTTATTTTGTGTCTTATTGTTCCTTCTCGAGTGTAGTTGGGGCCGTATGTATGCGCCGAGCGCATGCATGCGTGTCTATGGCACCCTGGCTTTTGGGGGGTGCAGCAGGCATGCAGGAAGTGACCTGGTTCCGAGATGTTATCACATCTCTTTGACGCATTCCGTTGCTTGCCTGCTCTGACGTGTGAGCAGTCTCAATCCAAAAATGGTAATCTGGCGCCCTGTGCTTCACCCATGCAACTTCAATACCCAAGTCCCAGTCTAGGTGTGATCGTGTTTGTGTGTCATAGAGCATTCTATGCATCAGTTGTGTGTTTGATTATTGCTGGGGAGCTCCATAGACAAAAAAGGAAAACTTGGCAAGGACTCAAAAAAAGGCACGCACAGACAAGCAGCTGCGCCCACATCCACGAGCCACACGCACGCAGGGGGCGCGCAGAAGCACAGAAAAGGCTTAAGCAGCATCCTCCATGTAAAGGGACTTCTCCAAATTCTCAGGCAAGTCGGTCACCTGGACGGCAAAGCGGTCTTGGACCTTGTTCAGGACGGTGGCATCCTCGTCCGTGGAGACGAAAGAAACGGCCAGACCCTTGGTGCCGAAACGACCGGCACGGGCCACCTATCAACAATAGCAATACCCCCGACGTGAGGCGATGAGCAGGTAATTATCAAGACGCAGAACAAGAAGTGGACACACACACACACACACACACACACACACACACACACACACACACACACACACACACACACACACACACACACACACACACACACACACACACACACACGACACCAGCACAATGGCATTGACTTTTGTGGTCAAGGTCCCGTTCCCCACCGAAACCAGTACGTACGCGATGGAGGTAGGTGTCCGAGGCATCTGACTCCTCCGTGTCTTCGGGCATGTCATAGTTGATGACGATGTTGACGCGCTCAATATCCATGCCACGACCAAAGACATCGGTGGCGACAAGAATACGCTTCTCAAAGTTCTTGAACTGCTGATAACGCTCAAGGCGCTTAGCCTGGGGCATGCGACCACCATGGATGTGGGTAGCGGGGAACATCTGGTCCTGGAGCAACGCCGAGAGGGTCTCAGCGCGACGGCCGCTCTTGACAAAGATGACGACCTGGTTGAACTCGAGGGCGTCAAGCAGATCGAGCAGCTTGCGGTTCTTCTGCTCCTCGAGCAGCTTGACGTAGTGCTGCTTGAGGCCGTGCAGGGTCAGCTTGGCATCGTCATCGATCGACACCTCCATGGGCTGCAGACATTAGATCAAACACGCACGCAGATGAGGTAAAGCATCAAAGCATCACACCTGTACATGCAACATCGGGACGCGACACGGATGCTGCATCATGGTCTGACGAGGAAGAGGGGGCGGGGAAAATGAAAACTCACATCATCCATAAACTTCTTGCACACTTCACGCGAAGTCTTGGAAAGGGTGGCGCTGAACATCATGACCTGCTTCTGGACGGGAGTCTTCAAGAAGATCTCCTGAACATCGCGGCGCATGTCTACAACGACAGCAGACACATGAGTAACACGATTCCATCCAGCAACCACCAACGCAGGGTCATGCCTTCTGGTCAGACATACCGAGCTGATCGAGCATCTTGTCGCACTCATCAAGGATGAAGTGCTTGACGTTGGAAAGCTTGAGGGCACCAGAGTTGACCAGGGCTTTGAGGCGACCGGGCGTACCGACGACAATGTTCTGTGTGTCAAGGTCATGAGCAGCGAGTGGGAAACAGAAGAGCACGGCTAGCTTGGGCCAGATGGGGGTTGTGCGTCCTGATCAACGTACGGGGACATCGTCACGGAGGACCTTCTCGTCCTTGCCGATGGGAGTGCCACCATAGAAGACAGCCGTCTTGGGGACGGGGTCGAAGAACTTGGAGAAGCGCTCGTACTCGCGGGCAATCTGGTAAGCAAGCTCACGGGTGTGGCACGAGACAAGGACATTGACCTTGCCCTCCTCACGCTCCAGCTGTTGGAGGGTGGAGATGACAAAAACCGCAGTCTTGCCCATACCGCTCTTGGCCTGGCAGAGGACATCACCGCCCAGAATGGCCTGAGGAATGCACTCCTGTTGCACTATCAAAGGCACACACGTACAAGATGCGGTCAGTCAAAAAAGTGACCAGGCGGGCTGCTGATTTAAGCAGAGTCTCGCTGGCCACGAGGGATAAAAGGGGCGAACCTTCAGAAGGATGCTCAAAACCGCACTCGGTAATGGCACGCAGAAGCTCGGGCTTCAGAAGGAAGTCACGGAAGACAGCGGTCTGGGCACCAGCGTAAGAGCCCTTGTCCTTGGCAACATCCTTGGTTCCAGTGGTCTCGGGCTCGGCCTCCTCGGTATACTCGAGGAGATCTTCGTCGTTCTGGAGGAGCGGAGAACAGGCGTGGCAAGACATAAAAGAGAAAGAAAAACAGAAAATGCAGTGGTACCCAGGCAGGTCACCAAGAGGCGTTGTTGCAGACAATGCTTGCATGAGAAAGTAGGGGAGGAAGACGCAAAGGAGCAGAGGGCGAGGAAGCGAGCAAAGTGGTCGTGGCGCTGGAACAAGAGAGCCCGAGGTTTATTAAAAGTAAATCAAATGGAGTCAACTTTGCTGTGGTTCGTGATCCCTATGAAAGTGAATCCGTTCGCCTGTCTGCCTGCCAGCCTTGACCGTCAACGTCGCCGTCCTGATGTGGCCAGTGCGTACCCGACGCCATTGCCAAATGACGTGGGGGACTGGGGCGAAAATGGTTTGTCGCCACCGTGACCACCACTGCTGCGGCCAACCCATCCGCCGCTATCATTCGGGATCGTCTGATCGAAGCGGATGGTTAAAATTGTTCATGCCGGCAGTAGCAGTGGTCCGGGACAACAGACACACTGGCTTTTAATATCGAGCCATGCTGCTGCCATTCCCGTCCACAACTCGAGGTTCCGCTTGGAGCAAAGAGCGCAGAGCAAGAAGGAGCAGCATGCAAGATATGCAGAGCCTCACGCCGCTCGATGCGGGCATCCGTCGCCAAGCTTGTCAGAAAGCATCCGGTCAAGCGAAAGGCAGCGATTCCCACATTGCCAGCTCGCCACCCTTGACTCCATGCAAACTGGCGTAAAGAGGAGTGTTCTGCAAATCAGGAGCCAGCTTGTCTGGCCGACCGGTTCAAGGAACTAAGAGTTATTCAGGCTGAACGGGCCTGCCGTCGTGCCATCGAGGAGTCCGTGTTCATTGCTGCTGCTGCTGATGCTGCTGCTGCCGCCGCCGCGACCCCGTTCGGGGGAAGGAGGCCGGTCGGCGCTCACACGTCTTTCATGCTTGTCATGATATGATGTGTTATCTTTTTTTTTTTTCTTCTTGTTGGAATCAGAGGTTTGAATGTTGCTTTCGTCCCGGCCAGCGCTCATGTTCCACGCCACGACCCAGTGTTGGTGGCCGTTGATTGGCTTGAACTTACGTGAATGTCAGCCATGGTATTGGTTTCTGCGGGGATGGAACCGAAGAGTTGCCGGGGGCGAGTCGCTGCCACTGAACTTGAGCCGAATCGAACAAAAGGCAAAAATGATCTCGGACCGTCAGCGTTGATCGACGTTTTACGGTTTGAACGAGGGAGCGCCGTTATAAAAGATTTGCAACCCACTTCCCGGCCGTGTTGCTTCTATTCAAAACTCGTTTGTTTTTTTGATCCGCATCACAATTTGTCAGATAATCATGGGTGTTTTATTATGGAGAGGTCATCTTCACGTTAATGTTCCCTGTCAATGTCAGATTCAGCTCTGCCACACGGTTCACACCAAATCGCCACACATATACAGCCATCCCTGTAAGTCAACACCACATAATACCCCACACACAGCTTACAGCCAAGCCACACATGCAGTAGAACACTCTCACTTTCTGGTAAGCGGGCGATGCGCGGGGCTCTGGAATGGCAGCCGGACGGTGCTTGTCGTCGCTATCATCTTGGTTTGCCTGTGCCTGTATCCGTATGGATGAAGTGTGTGTGTGTGTGTGCATGTGCTTGTTTGGATGAATCTGGGTCACGTTGCTGTTCGTTGACGTGTTGGGGGCGTCCATGTCTGTCGTTGTTGCGTCTCGGCCCCTTGGCGTCTTTGGGTCGGTCCCCAGAGGAGGACCCTGACCAGTGGCGGTGGACGTTGACATGGCTTTGGAAGCTTATGGGCCGCACCAGGCGTGGCATCTGAACTCATGGTCTGGTGTGAATGCCTTGCGTGAATGCAATGCTCCCGCATAGCTCGCGCCCTTGCTATCGCTGGGCTAGTCGAGCCGAGCACGTCTGCGGCAAGCATCCGCGCTTGCACGGGGCCACAAGCCTTGTTGGAGCGCTTCTTCGGACCCCATCTGGTACTTGTGCTTTGATTGATTGCTCCGTCGCCCCAGCGCGGGCGCGGGGCGTGCGGACCAATCATGGAGGATGTGACCAAATGGCTGGCCCAGCACCACTACAACGTGGAGCGGCAGATTGGGCGTGGATCGTACGGTAGCGTTTACCTCGTCCACCAGACCAAGCGTACCTCAAAATCCAAAGTGTGTCTCGCGGGCTCGGTCTTCAATTGCAGAGGCTGCTTCTTGCGTGTTGCTTCTGCTTTCCACCTCCTCTTACATGATCATCATGCGGCTTGCTGGCGGTGCTGGCGTGTGCAGTATGTTGTCAAGGTCATGGACTGCCGCCTGTTGAACAACGCGCTCCTGGCCGAGCGCGAATCACAGCTTCTCTCAAAGCTCAGCCACCCAAACATTGTCAAGCACCGGGACTCCTTCAAGTCTCCGTCGGGTGATGAGCTGTGCATTGTCATGCAGTACTGTGAAGGCGGCGATCTTTATACGCGGTAAAGATTCGTTGCTGCCTAACTTTTGTCATCCCGTTATCAACAAACTCATCTCGACTCGGGGTTTGATTGCAGCATCAAGCAACAAGCCTCGGCTGGTGCTCTTTTCCCAGAGAACCAGATCATGGACTGGTTTTGCCAGGTCAGCAAACGATTGCCAATCAAGCCATGCCCATTACGTTTCCATGAGAATTCATCCGTTTCCTGTTTCTTTTTTTTTCTTCTTTCCGACCTTCTGGTGAAATCAATAGATTACGTTGGCGTTGCAATATCTCCACAGCCAAAACGTTTTGCATCGTGACCTCAAGACGCAGAACATCTTTCTGACCCGCAGTGACATTATCAAGGTGAGCCCGCAGAAGCGTGTTGTTCCTTGGTCCATCTGTCGTGGACTCGTACAACTGCCCACTCGCATGAATTTTCAAACCATTTCTCGTAGGTGGGCGATTTGGGCATTGCTCGTCAACTGGAGAATTCGGAAGACATGGCCTCGACGGTACGAATGGCGCGACCTCAACCTTGCGCCGTCTGACGCTTGGTCTCATTGAAACCCACCCGGCACGCACCCTGGTTGCAGATGATTGGCACCCCTTATTACATGGCACCAGAGCTTCTTTCTCAAGAGGTAATATCTACCACCCATCCTCGTTCGCGGGCCACAGTCTGCCGACTCAGTCACGGGGCGATTTGGATAGGAGTACAATCATAAATCCGACATTTGGTCGCTCGGATGCTGTTTGTACGAGTTGACTACGCTCAAGCCAGCGTTTAGCGCCAATAATCTCTCAAAACTCCTCATCAAAGTGCTTCAAGATACGGTCCCGCGGATACCGCTGGCGTACTCAGACGACCTCAACGCCTTCAACATGTCTCTGCTCCAACGCGAAGCCGGTTTGTTTGTCCGATTTCCTTTCCCCCGCCCTCATCACGTGCTTAACCTTTGAGAGCAGTACGAACCGATTTCACGTCGTCGCATTCACCGTTTTCGGTTTTGTGCACTTAGAGCTGCGTCCCTCTACGCAGATGATTTTGTCTGACCGCTTTGTCAAGCGCCACATGCAGCGCTTGGTGGATGAAACCATGAGGTATGCCCAGCCCGTCTCGTGCTACTGGCTATACCAATATTGGCAAGAACGCTGACCTACACCAGACACAGGTTACCTCGGTGGCTTGGGTCCGATCTCACGGTTTCTCTCCTTCGCGCCAGTCGAAAATCGGCACAGGCAGCTCGAGCTGCGCCTCGTGGCACACGAGGCCGCGCCACATCAGCACCCGCCAAGCCGGCCGAACCGCCGATCGCCGATCGCCTTGAAACGCGCGCACCTGCTGAGTCCCGTGCTCAGCAGCCCCACCAACTCAGTCACTCAAGTATGTTACTGCCACTAGGGCAGAAGTCCCTGACAAGCCTTGACGCGCGTGTGTGTTGACTCTGTGTATTTACATGGACGTGTATGCATGTGCGTGTGTGCAATATAGCTGCAGAAACTGGGAATGAGGTTGAGCGCCGACGCTCACGCCCGACCCGGCGAGCCGTTTCTGGCGGTACGTCAGGTGGCCGAACATGTGAGTGGCTCACGTTTTTGTGTGCGCCGAGCTGATCTTGCGCTTTTTTTCCCCCCATTTCGCAACCTTAGAAGGGGATGTCGAATCGCCAGGCATGCAGCGCGCAAGCTTTGGGAATAGCCGCGCTCGCCAGTGAGTAGCTTTAGTGCTCACCCACCTTCTATGTCCATTTGTGGACCACTTCCCTATCACCCCCCTCACGCATTTGGCTTGGTAAATTGGTAAATGCTAGCGCCCGCCGGCAACAAAGGCACCATGGTGAAGCGACCAATACACCGTCGCCACGCATGCACCCGCGTAGCTCCAGCAACAAGTACACTGCGGACACGGATGATGATCTCTCTCTTTCCTCGGATTCGGAGGACGTACGTACTTCGAGTGTTTTTTTTGTTTTTGTTTTTCTTGTCCTGTACTTTGCACGCACCCCTCACTGACCGCGCATTGCTTGTCGGTCACGGGTTCCCTTCTGAATCGTGCGCAAGCAGGAAGAGGAAGACGACGAGGACGACGATGCGAGCGAGGCTGGGAGTCGGAGCACTGTCGCGCCGGATGATGAAGCGTCTCTGATTGCCAACATGACGCTTTCGCTATCCATGACAGCAGACCAATTGGCCACACACTTGCCCAAGGCCCATCGCGGCTCTGGGTCGACAGCCACCAAGTCAAGCAATCGGCGACGGCTGGCAGAAGAGTGTCGCCTTCAGCTCACACAAGTCCTTGGTCCTGGACGGTTGGCTGCCTTGGACCAGCTCATTGAAGCAGCAGCACGCGCTCACGATGTGCCGCACGAGGATGACCTCAAGCATGAGCTGGGCCATGAATACTCGACGCATGCCGAGCTGGTAAACATGTACGTTTACACCCGGCAAGCATAGCGTGCTCGCATGATATTCGTCCCGTTTGCCTGTCCCCATCTGGTTCTCTCTCTGATTGACCAATGCTGGCAAGTTTCACCCTTTTGTAGTCGTAAAGCGACTTTTCTGTGTTGTTTGAGGTTTGTTTCTGAAGAAACATTCACCAAAAACTTTGAATTCATTGGTTCCGGCCTTCAAAGAATGACGCGTGTCAATCTAAAGCATCAACAGCCTACGCAGGCTGACCGGGCGCGCCAGCAAACGAGCAGCTAGTTTTCCCACCAACAAATACAGCGCTCGTCTGCCAAGCATCTGAAAAGAACAAAACACAACACCTCATGAAAAAAGAAAAAAAAAAAAAAAGGCTCCAAGTCACTAAACTTGGGGTTGGTCATTTGCACGAGTTTCGTGTTGTGTTTTTTTTTTTTTTTTTTTTAATTTTTTTTGTGGCAGTCGAGTCAATGCAGAACAGGGGGTCGACCAGTGTACGCATATTGGTTCTGGTGGCAGTGAGCTGGTTCTGGCTGGTATCGCAAGACTCGTGGCCTGAAGAGTATCGGCTGCGACGACTTCGGGGAGGCTCTTTTCCGTCATCTCAACGTCAACTCGACAACATGGATCAAGTGCGTGTGGCAGACGACAAGGCCGGCGTTGGCCAGGCCGCGGCGAAGTGGCTCTGCGAACAGGCAGAGGCAGCCATCGCTGACCACCAAAGCTTCAGCGTTGCCTTTAGCGGTGGCAGCCTACCCTCTATCCTGGCGAGTGGCTTGACTGATGATTTGGTGAAGCGCTGCCAGCCCGACAAGTGGCAGGTATGGTCTGACGTTCTCGTTGTGTTGGAGGCTTGGAGCCGCCGCGGGCCGCTGAGATGGCACACCCTTGCTGATTGGTCTGACTGTGCATCCTGGCCTGGTCCTTGTCTACTGCTTGCGTTTGCTTTCCCTGTGCCATTTAGGTCTACTTTGCTGATGAGCGCCTGGTGGCACACGACGATGATGAGTCCAACTACAAGGAAGTCCGCAAAACCTGCATGGCCAAGGTCCGCCGCTGAATGCCCCCACCCGCTCCGCGCTGTTAGCCTTGTTCAGATATCCATTTTGTATTGTCGTGTCCAATGCCTCACTGAACAAAAACGTCACATGGGACTGAGATCAGCTGAACATCAAGCCAGAGCAGGTGCATGCGATTGACGCCGGCTTGCCCGTGGAGCAGGCAGCAGCGGCCTACGAGGCAGACATGAAGGCCAGCTTGGGCTCGGAGGGCCGGCTAGACGTTGTCCTGTTGGGCATGGGGCCGGACGGCCACACCTGCTCCCTCTTCCCCGAGCATCCACTCTTGCAAGAGCAGGACAAGCTGGTGGCATCCATCTCTGACTCTCCCAAGCCGCCGCCACAGCGCATCACGTTGACTTTCAAGGCGCTCAGCCATGCAGGTCAAGTGGCTTTCATCACGGCGGGTGATGGCAAATCAGAGGTGCTACGCTCAGTGCTGATGGATGGCGACTGCCAGCTACCCGCCTCCATGGTACGAAGCGCTACAGGTTTGCCCCTCTGGTTTGTGGATAAGGGCGCAGCTGCAAAGCTATGAAAATTTGCCGCGAGCAAGGCTGTATGTGACATCAACTCCAGCACATGGCTCAAAAAGAGCATGAATTGAGTTGAAGCGTAGTCAAATTCGGTCAACTTTCGGGTGAGCCAAACAAATACAGATCTCGCGCTCAGATCCAAGGCCCAACTGAAAGCGACAGAAAATGCCACCATCCCAACGGGCGGGAAGGTACATGTGTCACCGGCACTGTGTGCCAAGGTGGGGAGAGCAGAGGGGCAGCACACAAGAGGTACAAAACGTCAAAACACAGAAACAGGAAGAATGCACGAGCGCCTTGGGCGCCAAAACAACGCGGGGGTGTAGCCCTCGCGAGCTTGAGTGTTTAGTCCATGCGACCGCGCAGCGTGCGCGTCGTCACCTTGTCCTTCTCCCTGCATGATGCATCCAACCCACGGCAGAAGCCGCGATCACGCGCATGAGAAGTCGACGCGAACAATGTGGTGACGGTCGAGCTGTACCAAAACTTACACAATGTGAACGACACCACCCCAGCCGGCAAGGGCATCGCGGTCCTGAGCATTCAGCAGAGCCTGCGATACAACCTCGAACAACTCATCCGGTTCCTATAATTACAACGAGCTGTCAGCTACCAGGCGTAGACTTGCAAGTAAACAAGAAGAGAAGAGGAGGGGGGACGAAAAAGAGTGTCAAGCCGCTCCGAAGAGAGGGTGGTCATCTTGGAGCCCGTACCATGTTGGGCTTGTAGAGGCTTTCACACATGCCAAAGAGCTGGTCCGAGCTGGTACCGCCAACCACAAAGTCGGTCGTCTCCATGGGGCAGCCAATGACATCAGTTGATGCGACGTAGGGTTGGCCGTCCTTGTCCAGGCCTGCGATGAGAGGCTCAATAAAGTATGGCCCAAATCTAATCACCAAGTCCAAGGCAGTTATGAGGCTGGAGCCGGCAAGGCAGTGCTCAGGCAGCTTTGGGGTGTCATACCGCTTCTCGTAGAGCATGCTGGATATTAAGTTGGTCAGGGCCTTGGGCTCAATGTCCCGCTCCTCACGCAGCTTGTACAGCTTAAGCTTGAAGGTGAGGCGCTGTGAGCTGTGGCACACAGCAAGCACAAAACAAGTAAGACCAAGTGAGCAGAATGTGGCGGTTTCCCCAAAAGTGTCGTGGCAGGTCAGGGCGACGGGCCTTTGTCGCAAGCACGCACAAGGTCTGCACGTCGGTGGCAAGTCCGGGCAGGCCGACAAAGAGGGTTGGCCCCATCTGGAAGAGCTTCTGAAAGTCTGTGGCCACGGTCTGTGCCTGGGCTCCGAGGCGGCGATCGGCAGCGATGGCGATGCAGCCCTTGCCGGTCATGGCCACCATGGCCGAACCGTTGTACTCCATGATCGACTGCATAGCACCCAGGAGATGCATGTCCCGCGACGGATAGAGCGCGGGGTCGGCAAATATCTGGTGAGCGCTGTTGGTGTCAAAGCAAAGGCGGTACTGCGATGACGAGGCTTGCGAGCCCAGCGTGTAGACTGCGGCACATACGCACCATGGCGACGGTGGTGCTGGAGCTGGTGAAGCAAACGACTCCGCAAAGCGCCTGATACAGAGTAAGATACAAAAAGACAAGGCAGAGCTTTGACAGCCGACCGCACAAAGAAAGAGGGTGTCGGCCTAAGCACCGTGCGCGAAAAAGCAGAGAAGTGAATTCCAAGTGTCTGCCAGCCAGCGGAGTGAGATGTCAAGCCACGAGCTGTCGCGGCCACTTGACGGCACAAAAACAACAACCAGCCGCTGATGACCTCGACCACAGAAACACGCCAGCAGCCCCAACAAAGTGGCCACACGAATTGGTACCCTGCCGACCCCTGCCTCTGTGCACAAGCAGTACGCGCCTTGGTTGACGCGCACACACAAACAGACACACACGGACGCACGGACGCACGGACGCACGGACGAACGGACGAACCGAGTCGGCGAGCCACTGATGAGCGAGATGCGCCGCGTACCGTGTTAAGTGATGTGGCTCGGTCACTGGCGCACTGTGACGGATATTTACACTTTAAAAACTTATTGTTTTGGACTATCATTTAAAGGAAGTTTATGGGGTTGAATTTGATACAAAGAATGGTGGTGGGAAAATTTAAATTGGGATGACTCTTTGGTCATCATTTCCGGTGCGCACTCGTTCATCGTCGGTGCTGGTCGCTGTGGACCCTGTCCTTCTTGCCCTGCGGCCCAGTCCCCTGGTCCCCTGGTCCCCTGAGCCTGGGTTTCGTTTCTGCAGAGCCATCACATTGCTTTGCTTTGGCACATTCTGCGCTTGAGCCCCGGGCGGGCTGGTGGAGCTGAAGAGAAGCGGTGTTGTTGTCCATGCACAATAGCCTGGATCTGCTCAGAGCCTAGGTGGGCTGGTTGGTTCGCAGCATGTCAGCCAGGCAGGTTGCTGTGACGCCATCGCGTCGCCCTCTGGGGGGCCTGACCAACAACCATGCGATCCAAGCGTCACGCCTCCCGACGTTGAAGGCTGTCGGCACACCGCTGGCTGCGCTGGCCTGTGCGACAGATTCCGAGGATGAAGTTTTTTTTGGTCAGCCCTCCGCCGTCGAACGAGCCAAGATGAAGCAGCTGCGCCGCCGTCGTCGCACGCAGCTGTGTATCTATCAGGTGAGTCTCCGATCTCCCCGCACCTCAATGACCAGGGCCCGCGGCTCAACCAAGGAGAATCTGCGCGCCGCCACTCCCTTAGGATAAATCAGAAGACGCCATCGAGCCCACGGCGGTACATTCTGAGACGGTGGAGATGCAGCACACCGACCTTTTCACTCGACAAAGGCGTGCCGCAGCCCTACGAATTCAGGCTTGCTGGCGATGTCACGTAGCTCGGCACCGGTATCAACAGATTCAGCACGCCGTGCGTTTGCTTCAACGGCAATGTCGCCGATGGATGGCTCAGCAGCGGTGGAAACAGCGGCAAAAGGCAAGCCAGGAGGCACCTGCAGCCACTGTGGGTACTGTTACGCCTCTCAAGGCGGGCACCAGCGACAGCGAGACCGTGTCATGGCCAGCGCCAGAGCAACCAGGTGCTGGGGGCTGGAGCTGGGAAGGTGCAAACACGAGCAGTATCACAAAGGAGACGGTCGCCAAGACGCCTCGTTCAGGAACCGCTGCCCCAGCTCCTTCTCGCATTGTATTCAAGGCAACCGTTGCGCCAGCCACAAACGCCACCGCAACGGCTAGCCAACCCACGCCCGCGCTCAGTGGCTCGGCTGCAGTCACACCAGCCGCGGCTCCGAGCTCAACGCGAGCCCGCCCGGGAATGCAAGAGCTGGAGCAGAAACGAGAGCGGCTAGCCGAGCTGCGAGCACGGCGCATGGCTCTCCAAAAAAGAATCCGTGAGCGCTCAGGCCAGACCACGGGTGTACATGCCGACGCCCCGGACGGCTCATCGGGCTCCAATGGGTGCTTGCGGGGGAGTCATTCGGGGAGCCAGGTTTCCGGGCGTGGCGGTGCCAGCAGCCGCTCGCATCGTAATGCCGATGTGGTGGTTGCTCGCGCGCTGGCCCGTGAGACCATGTTCAATACCACTCGTAACGCAGGCTATCAGTACACCAAGCTTATCCGGGGCAACGATGCTCAGGTGGGTTGTTCTGCGTCTCTGGATGATGTGTGTGTGCGCGTGCGGGCCGGTGCGTCCTCCATTCACTCATTGGGATGTGTTTTTTTTGCAGCCGAGCTTTGCTGATTTGGGTGAAGCCATGGCAGGGCTAGATGTGTCACCGTTGGCGACGGAGCGCTCGCGGCGGGTGCAGTTTGCTGAAACGCGGTCACAAATGGTGCTGGAATTTGCTGACCAGGACGCGCCTTCGCGCATCGGAAGCAAGAAGCGTTTGCTGTATCATGGTGCCACATCATCGGCTGGACGAAGCGAACGTCGCAAGAGTCTATTACGGACACCTGGCAACTTTGTGTTGGCCGACCTCACGCAGCAGACAGTTTTGATCAACCCCCCTGGCAGCCGGCAGCGGCGAGGATCAAAAGTTGTGGTGCCCGCGCACGAGCTCCTCTCGGCATCGGGTCGCAAGGATGCTCAGCGTTGTGCATGACAGCCATCTCCTGCCAGTACAGATACCATGACCAAGCATGTTGTGTCATGAGACGCCCTTGAGCGTCCAGTACATGTGTATGTGTTACGTGTGGGGCCTTGGGCTGGCCATGGTGTCACGGCTTTTGGATGGATGATTGACATGTGAATTGTATCGTTTGACCAATCTGGATTTGGATTCCACAGGCGTCACAGCACGTTCCATCCTCAAAGCGGGCGCTGTCCGTGGTGGATGCATAGCCTTACGCTGCCCACTGTCAAATGAATGCATGGGTGCCATGATTGTGTGGTATGCGCACATGGAAAGGTAAGGGTTAATTGGGAAAAAGCAGTTTAGATTATCTTTGAATATTCAATCGTGGACTCGGCCATGAAGGTCGCCACCAGGGCGCAACGGAGAGGGGTTAAACTCGACCCACTCAAGAGAGAGTATGAGAGGAAAAAAAAAAAAAAGATAACAAAGGCAAAAAGATACACATGCGGCAGAAAGTCACAGAACTGAGGTGCCAAGACATGTGCAAGCGGGGCTATGAACAAAAAAAAAGCCTAGAGTTTAGGCCGCTGGCCATTGAGAAGCTTGGTGGTATCGCAACTCAGCAGCACTTGGCGGCGAGGTGTGCAATCTTCTCCTCCAGAGCAGCAAAGCGGGCCTCCATAACTGAGCGGCGCTGGTTGACAAGCGTCTTGACCAGGGTGTGCAGAGCCGGGGGGACGGCCTCCAAGACGGCGGGGTCGACGGTGGCGTCGAGTCCATCCAGGCTAGGTTGCGCGGTGGCAGGCGCCGTCTGAGATGTCTTGATGGTGGTCATGAGAAGGTCCTTGAGGTAGGCCACCTCGTTCTCCAGACGCTCACACTTGACGCTCAAAGCTTTGTTCTCATCAGCCAGCTCAGAGGATTGGCTTTGCAGCTCCTCAAACTGTTGGCGTTTCTTACGGCGGTAACGATCTGCGGCCTGCTTGTTCAGCTGCTTCTTGTCTGTCGTCTTGGCACGCTTGCTTGTGGTCTCCCCCGAGAGCTCGGCGGTGAGATTTGCCTTGCTTTGGTCCAGACTGCTGAGGGATGAGCCAAAGTCCATCTCGCTGAGATCGTGGCTGCCCTGAGGCGCGGCGGCATACCAGTCGCTAAAATCAAACTCTTGAAGAGCCATCTTGAAGGATTCTTTTAGGAGTATGACACCCAACGATCAAAACGACGACAAGTGGCAGCGACGTAGACGTAGACGTGTGTGTGTGTTTGTGTGCGATCGATCTTCTGCAGATCAAACACTGATCCGATCGCTCAGAGCACCAGACCGAGACTGGAACGAGACTGGAACGAGACGGAACGAGACGGAACGAGACGGAACGAGAGAGAGAGAGAGAGAAGAAAATGCATCCCAAGCGTCCTCCACACACACACTCTCTCTCTCTTTCTCTCTCTCTCTTTGTGTTTTCGTGCAAGCGCCAGCAGCTGCAGCCTCGCATATGATGTGTGGGAGCTGTTGGGTTGCAGCCCGCTTACGGCTTGAACCCGTTTGATGTTCGGGAAGCACATGTAAGAATCCACATGAAGGCAGAGAAGGGTGAAGCGGGTTGCGTGTGTCCGGTGTGAAAACGAGGACGCCCTTTGATGTGTGGGAGGAGTCGGAGGACGTGATAAAGGCAAGCGGTGTGTTGCTTCTGCTGGGGCAGCTGTTGGTGTTGGGGGTCCAAAAGCAAAAGCGGGAACTGGGGTTGTCAGAGGAATGGCAGCCGCCAGGGATAGAATGGGGGAGGTTTGGGGGGAGGTTTGATAGTAAAGGTCAGGACAAACTGCAGCTGCTGGGGAAGGAACACGATCGGGCGACGTGAGGGAAAGATGGCGCGAGAATGAGAGGCGCTGGCTCACCTCATATCGCATCAGCATGACACCAAGTCTCCGATCCGAGTCTCCGCTCTTGAAGTTTCCCGTTCACAATCAATGTTGTCAACGAGGTTTTTCATTCCGGTTGTCAACTAATGTTCACAACGCTATCACCCCGCCAAAATTCAAAAATCAGATTATTTCGCCCGCCCGTTCGTTGAAGTCCCGCGAAATCCTGAAAAACCCGCGACGCAGATTTCCTTTCGGCTTTGGTCGAGGCTTGGGCATTTGCTTGCGTTGGACAAGGCCATCGCTCTTTTTGTTGCCGAGGGCTTTGCCTTCCCTTTTTTTTTTTGGTTTTCCGGTTTTTCGGTTTTCTTTTCTTTGAAAGCTCCGTTCGCTGCTTGAGGTGGGTCGCGCAAGCCTCTGAAATTCTTGTGCTGCTGCCCTTTTGCAGCTCGAATCTGAATGACTGCGCGCAACCCCACAAGCTTACACAAGCAAGCGTCGCATCGCCAGCTCTGACCTGGATCTGCTTTTTTTTTTTTTTTTTTTCGCTTTCTTCGCCAAAACACGACTTGCCCCCCTTGTCATCGTCCGCAGGTTGTGAGCGACCGGTCAGGCCGCGACAGACCTCTTTCCGGAGAACAGCGACACCACACAAGGGGTCGCGCGCATTGCTTCGGACCCACCCACCTCACGTGCAAGATGGCTTCCCCCGCTGAAGCCTCAATGGACACGGCCACCCCAGTTGTGGCCGCCGGCACCGTCCCCAATAGCCCATCGGCTCGCCTCATGATCACACATATGCGCATGGAAAACTTCAAATCCTATCTGGGTGTCCAGGAAGTCGGTCCATTCCACCAGGTACGCCAAGGCACACCACCGGCCGTCATGGATGGCGATCAGCAGACAAATAAAAAGTCCTGCCTCGGTCCAAGTCCAGATGACTTTGCTCATCCCTCTGACCCGTCATGGTTTTTTTCTTTAATTTGGCTTGGTGCAGTGCTTCTCGTCCGTCGTGGGTCCCAACGGCAGTGGCAAATCCAATGTGATTGATGCCCTCCTTTTTGTCTTTGGCTACCGCGCCAAGAAGATCCGCCAAGCAAAACTGAAGGATCTCATCCACAAGTCAGAGGGTCACACCAACCTCGACTCGTGCCGAGTCTCCGTCTTTTTCTCTGAAGTCATTGACAAGGTGAGCCCTGCAATCGGACGACAGCGATCCACCCAGTGACCAACAACCGTCTCGCCCCCTCGTTTGAAAAAAACTTGGCCGACTCTCATGGTTTCGAGCTCTCCCCACACTCATTGCCATGGTAGCCCGATGGCTCGTATGAGACAGTTCCAAACTCCGAGTTTGTGGTCATGCGTGAAGCCACCAGTGCCAACCAATCCAACTACTATCTCAACGGCAAGAAAATGACCTTTAAGGAGATTGGCACCCTTCTCCGGGCCAAGGGCATTGATCTCGACCATAACCGCTTCCTTATCCTGCAAGGCGAGGTTGAATCCATTGCCATGATGAAGCCCAAGGCCCAGCATGAGAATGACGATGGTCTCCTGGAGTACCTCGAAGACATTATTGGGTAGGACGGCGCCTCCCCTCTTGTCCTATTCATCCTCGGCTTTCTCGTCTTCGCTTACAAAACGATCGCCGCCGGGCCTCACGACCTGCTGCAGCTCCAATCAATTCAAGGAAGACATTGTCAAGGACGAGACCCAGTTGGCCGAGCTCAACGAACAGCGCTCAGAGAAGTTGGCCCGCGTCAAGGTTGTGGAGACGGAAAAGAACAAGCTCGAGGGTGGCAAGAACGAAGCCGAGGCCTACTTGGGAGAAGAGAATGAGGTTCGAACCACCTTTGTCGCTTGCCGCGGGAGAGCCGCCCCTCCCCGCCACGCCCTGGCTCACCACTCCCCTTCCGTTTTCTTGATCTCATGGCAACCTCACTCGGTCTTGAATCCCATTGTAGCTGACCATGCTTCAATCCAAGCTGTACCAGCTCTTTCAGTTTCAGAGCACCAAGCAGCTCGAAGACGCCCAGACCAAGTTGAACGAGGTCAATGAGTCAGCCAGCGAGCAACGCGCTCAGCTTGCCGCCCTCCAAAAGGACGTTAAGATCAAGGTCAGTTCTCAACCTGGCCTAACCCCTTGGCCCACGTTCACGTCCATAACTAACCGCTTCTCATTACACCCCGCCTTGCTGCCTGGCAGGAACAAGAGCTCAAAGTCGAACAAAAGCAGGTCAACCAGCTGCAGACAGCCTGCGAGCAGGCCAAGGCCGACTTTATCGCCTTTGAACGCAAGGATATTAAACACAAAGAGGTACGCTTGGCCTGCTGCCAATCCACACACAAACAAAACTTTGTCCGCTGTCTCTCTTACACCTACGCTCCCATCTGGCGGACCTACTCGATCGCCACCGACGCTTCAACTCACGTCCTTGTGTTGCACTGAACCCTTGTTTGCATCACCCCTCAGGAGCACAAGTTTCTCAAGAACAAGATCAAGAAGCTGACGGCTTCCATTGCCAAGGACCAGAAGCAACTCAATCAAGAAGCTTCCCGGGACGTTGCCCTCGAGGAAGACCGCGGGCGCTGGCAAGAAGAGCTTCAGGCCTCCCAGCAGCAGCTTGACAGCGAAGAGAAGAGTCTTGAAGAGATGCTTGAGGGTCTTCAAGGCGAGATGCAGGCCCAGCAAGACGAGCTCGCGACGCGTCAGGCAGCGCTGGCCCCCTTCAGCCAGGCCCGTGCCGAAGCCAAAGCCAACCTGGAGGTGAAGCAAGGCGAGCTCGAGCTACTCACCCGCAGCAGCCGCGAACTGGCACAGACGCTCGAATCTGCTCAACAGAGCCAACAACAGGTACTTGCACACTGCCTCGCTCTTTTCGTTTCGTTTTGTTTCGTTTCGTTTTGTTTTGTTTTTTTTGTTTTGTTTTGTTTTGTTTGCGTTTTTGCCTCGATTCGATTCAATCAGCACAGGCGCACCGAATCATGCTCGTGGTGACGTGCGTGGGCTAATGTTGTCCGTTTGTATTCCCTGCCCAGGCCGAGGCTGACGAAGAAACCAAGACTCAGGCTTTGGCCGAGGTACAGCAGGAGGAAGCCAAGGTGCTCAAGCAGCTGGGCAAGGCTAAGAAGGAGCTGGCGAATGTCGAGGCTCAACTGGCCCCCCTCGAACAGTCTTGCAACGCAAAGCGCGTCACGCTTGAGGAGGCACGGGCAGCTTCTTCCTCGTCTCGGGCTCAAAGTGCCGTTCTTGTGGCACTCAAGCGCTTTGCGGCCAAGAACAACCTCAGTGGTTTCCATGGCCGCCTCGGTGATCTCGGTACCATTGACGATGCCTACGACGTTGCCGTCACCACGGCCTGCGGCGCTTTAAACAACATGGTCGTTGACACGGCCCGCGAGGCCAAGCTGTGCGTGGAGTTTCTCCGCAAGCACAACGTAGGCCGTGCATCCTTCATCATCATGGAGAAGATCACGGCCATGGCTGATCGTGCCGCAGCTGCCTTCACCGCACCCTCGGGCACTCAACGCCTCTTTGACTTGGTTCAGCCTCGTGACCAGCACTTTGTCGCGGCTTTCTACTGGGCCCTGCGCGATACGTTGGTGGCCAAAGACCTCAACCAGGCCACAACTGTGGCATACAAGGTGTGTTGACCCTTTTACAGAGTGTGTGTGTGGGGGCGGGGGGGCGGGGAGGGGGTTGACTGCTTAGTCTGCTCGCAACATGATGCTCATATCCTCGCTTTGTGTCGTCTTTACCAGGGCTCGCGTGCCATGCACCGCGTTGTCACCCTTAAGGGTGAGGTCATTGATACCTCGGGTACCATGTCCGGTGGTGGCAAAAAGGTGATGCGTGGTGGCATGTCCTCCTCCCTGACACCGCAGCTTTCCGAGCGCGAGCTCGAAGAGATGGAAACCGACATGTCCACCTTGACTCGCGAGCTCAACGACCTGCGCCAACGCCAGCAACAGCTGTCCCAGCTTGTGGAATCGCTTCAAGAACAGGCGGCTGATTGCACGGCTCGGGCTAAGCGGCTCCAGATGGAGATTGCGAACCTGGGTCAAAAGAAGGGTGCTCTCGAAACCCAGATTGCGGACCTCACCAAGCGCAGCAAGGCTGCTTCCAAGGATGTCGCGCAGTGCGCAGCTCTTGAAAAGGAAATTGCTCAACTCGAAGCTGCCTTTGAAGAAGCCAAACAGCGCGCCGCCGAGTATGAGCAGGCCGTGCGGGATGGCGAGGAGGCCCTTGCCAACGTGGGTGGTGTTGTGCTCAAGGCCAAGCGCAGCAAGGTCGATGACCTGCGTCAAGCCATTGTTGACCTCAAGCAGCAGATTACCCGTGGCGCTGTTGATGGCAAGGCATGCTCGCGCAAGACTACCCAGTTGTCCAAGCGCGTTGAAGCGAGCCAAAGTAAGTCAATGATTTCCTCACCTCGTCGGGGCTCCAAAAGGACGGTACACAAGCGGGCTGTTTTCGTGCCACTCCTGACTCACTGAATTTGTTGCAGAGGAACTGGCTGAAAATGAGGAAGCTTTGGTCAAGCTGCAAGAGTCGTTCAAGGAGATTGAGGAAGGAGCGATCGAGGTCATCGAGCAACGCGAAGAAGCCGAGCGCATGCTGCAAGAGCACATGGAGGTTTTGACTGAGCTGAAGCGAGCCCATGATGATGCCCTCGATGCCATGTCGCAGCTCAAGTCAACCATGGTTGACATTGAGCACCAGGTCGAAGAGCTGACCAAAACAGTGAAAGACAGTGCAGCCAAGAATAAGCATTGGCAAAAGAAACTCTCCGGCCTGAGCCTCCACCGGTAAATCACCCCGCCCCATTCACAAACTACTCTGCCTGCACGTGCTTGGCTGTGGCCCATGCGTTGAGTCTTCCTTCACTCGTTCTGCTCACCCGCTCCCAACTTCTTGGCTGGTATGCAGTATCGGTTATGAAGACATGGATGAGCTGGATGAAGAGTCGGAGCAGGTCAAGTCGGCAGCTCCCACTCAGCTCGAGACACTGGATGAGGCCGCCTTGCTTGCCCTGGACAAGGATGCCCTCGAGTATGATATCACGATTCTTTCGGAGCGCTTGCAAGGCCGCAAACCCAACATGTCCGCCATTGAGCAGTTTTACAAGAAGGAGAAGGATTACCTAGCACGCGTGGGGGAACTGGATGAGGTCACCGAGCTGCGTGATGGCGTTCGTAAACATTATGAGGACTTGCGCAAGCAGCGTCTGGACATGTTCATGGGCGGCTTCAGCATCATCACAAACAAGCTCAAGGAGATGTACCAAATGATCACTCTGGGTGGCGATGCCGAGCTTGAGCTCGTTGATCGCCTCAACCCCTTCTCAGAGGGCATCGTGTTCTCGGTACGTGCTCGCCTCTTGGCTTCTGATTTCGTCACATACGCCACTCTGGTGCAGCACATAAACATATGAACCTCTCACACCGCCCACCCTCCTCTCGGTGTTGCACATGCGCAGGTCCGCCCGCCCAAAAAGTCTTGGAAGAACATCTCCAACCTCTCTGGTGGCGAGAAGACGCTCAGCTCGCTGGCCCTGGTCTTTGCCCTGCACCACTTCAAGCCCACGCCACTCTACGTCATGGACGAGATTGATGCCGCGCTTGACTTTAAGAACGTCTCTATCGTGGCCAACTATATCAAGGAGCGCACCAAAAACGCCCAGTTTATCATCATTAGCCTGCGCAACAACATGTTCGAGGTAGGTTTGGCCTGGCCCTCGTAGTCTTGACGGCCGCGATGCAACTCGGCAGTATTCTCCTCACACAACCGGCACGGTGATTTGCGTTTTATTTTTCTAGTTGGCGGATCGTCTTATTGGTATCTACAAGACTGACAACGCCACGAAGAGCGTGACGATCGACCCGGCACTCGTTGCTGCACAGGCGCGGGCTCGCGAGCAGGCCATTGCACAGCAGGCCTCTGCCAAGAGTGCTGCCTTGGCCGGTCCTGTGGCTGATGCCTCCCTCCTTGTTGCATAGGCGCCCTCTGGTGGTCTGGGCCTCGTTGAGTGTTTTCATGTTTGTTTCTAATGGCCTCGTTTTGTCCATTGTTCCCGCCGAGTCCCGTTCCAGTTGGCTGGGCCTCGTGTTAAATGGCCAAGTCATTTGTGTTGTGGTTATCTTGGAGCGTTGACCAAAGACAGAGTAAACAGCGCGCCTCGTGCCCTCCCCCCGTGTGATGCAGAAAGATTGATGAGTCGTCGAGACTCTTTTGTATGTGAGTGAGTCGGCTGCTGTGCCAAAATGGGTGTGATAATTTTTCAATAATTTTTGTGTATTTTCATTGATTTTTTTTATTCTTTTCCACGTATCTTGATCTTGATGCGGCTACCGTTGCTGATCCTTCTATGGTTGGCACTTTCGCTGTCGTCGCCCGTGGGAACGTGGCCGCTTCTCGCCGCCAGTGCAAGTCACATTGCGAATGTTTGTTGAAGCTCATGCCTCAAAATTGAACCTCTTATGAACAGACTTTCTCTACAAGACAGTAATACTTCCTCGAGGTCATGATTTAAAACGGTCTAGTTACTTGATGACGACGACGAGGAAAAGGTAGAGAGCTTTGGGGTAAGATGTTCATTTAGGCACGCAATACCTTCTGCGTCGGGGTCATGTTTGATATGCTATGAGAAGCTCATCTGTGGCAAAATCAGAGGCCATTCTCGTTGTCTGGGCCATCAACACGAGCACGTCCTCAAGACAGGAAGGAGGCCACCGCACTGAGCATCGTCAAAAATTGGTTTGAGATCAATTACTTAAGACTGAAGCGCTTTAAAGGACGGCCGTGTGAGCCGCTTCGGTATAGGTGGCTTTCGATCGGGCCTCGGCGCTCTAAGATGCGCAATGACGATTGCAAATGAGGATTCTGGTTTGAAACATGCAAACAGATAAATACCAAGAAGGAGAACTTCAACGAAGTACCTACCAGAAGGGCGTTGGCATTATCGTTCAAAACAGTACCCCAGGCCCGCTAGAAGACGATTGTTCGGGACACGAAGACTGTTAGTATCGGCCAGGCAGGGCATATTAGCGAGTTGAAGGAACACGTTGCGCAACATGTACCCACCTGTGTGGCCTCGAGCTGGCTGAGTAGCATCTGGATGCGATGATCCTCCACAATCAAGTTGCGAGCCCGGGCATCATCCTTGCGCTGGGTGAACTCCAGCTCGGCTTCCTGCGCACGAGTTTCGGCAACCTCGCGATGCTTTTCTGACTGTCGAGCCTACGTGCAGGGAGAGAGAGTCCAAGCTGCATTAGATTGCCACAGCGAGAGCAACACGTTGAGCGTCACCATGCTGCTGCAAGGAGCGCCGCTGTAGCAGTGTACCTTGCTGGCCACGGCCTTGGCCGCCTCGTGTTGCACGAAGGCCTTTGAGGCTGCCTTGGCGGCAGCCTGTACCGGTGGCAAAACGCTACCGTATTTGTGCGCAGTCGGAGTGAGTGCATATCCTGAAGCAAACACTTTGACGCAACCAGACGGAGGCCACGTAGGTGCCGGGAAGGGCTTCAACGAGACGTACCGTTGCTGATAAACGTTGAGCTGCTCCAAGGCCGAGGCCAGGGCCGGAAGAGTATGGTCTTCAACATTTCGCCCCATGGTCTGTCAGAAACACGACCAAAGGCGGAAACAACGTGAAGAGGTAGCAAACTCAAAGTTTGAGCAAGAAAAATGATCGTACAAGACACTGAGACGGGATGAAAGGTGGAAGTGCGGGCGGGGTTGAAGCCACGGCACACCAGTCACGACATACCCGCTGGGTGCTCCCTAGAATTTGCATGCACTCGCCAATGGGACCCGGGGTCTGCGATTGGCAACAAGCGGGCAAGCGCGAAGTGAGACGCGGATGCATCTGAAGCGGGTTAAACCGTGGACGTACGCGCACGCCCTGGGTCAAGAGAAAGTGGCTCATGCTCTTCTCGGCTGCTTTGAGATCTATCGAGCGGTTAGCGCTACAATGTCAGCACAATTCAGGGACCACGGTGAGCACGGTGTGTGTGAGGATGAGACTTGCCGTTTATGCAGCGCTGGTATTTGCGAAGGACCATCGCCATCTCCTTGGCTTGCGTTCGGCGACCATTGACAGCCTATGGATACAATGCCAAATCAGTGATGAACAAAAAGTCTTGGAAAAAAAAAAAAAAAATGCTAAGGTCTGCAAGGGAGAGTTCTGAACAAACCTGGTGTAATGCGTCCAGTTCCTCATCCACGGGCTTGTTTGCGCTCTGTGCGTGTACGGGGGACACAAAATGTCACGAGTGAACCAGCCGGGCCCGGCAAAGCAGCTTCATCCACCTGGCCCGAGGTCGTCTTGGAATCAAGGGGCAATAATTAACATGCATGTGTGCTTCTGGGCCGGGGGCATCCGTACGTTGTAAAGAGAACGGAATTGGAGGCTTGCGCGTTCAAATACGGTTTCGCGCCGGACTTGACCTGCCGCCCTCGCGGTCCGCGCATTATCTTCGTCCGGGGCTGTACCGCATCGCGCATAGCCACGGGAGGTGAGCATGTCGCCCGGGTAGAAACGGAGAGCTGATGCGCAGGGGCGTTTGAATCGGACCTTGGATACGGACGTCACCAAAGTCAGGGGCTTCGGTCACCCTGAGTGGGAAGAAATGGGAACAAGGAAAACAGCATGTCACAATCAGAATACAAGGACAACATGAAACAAACGCGCAGGGCCTTGAGCGATGCCCTTGCAGCCTCGAATCACTCACGGGGTGTTCGTTGCCTCCGGGGCATCAGCTGCGCGTGAGTCGCCCGAAGCCAGTAGGGATGCCGGGGCTTGCTGCGGGTATGGATCAGGCAAGCCATGAATAGGAACGAGGGGCGAAGGGCGCTGAAATGAGCACTGGGTCATGAGCAGGGCTGGTACTGCTGGTATCGAGGGCAGCGAGGTCAGCAAACGTACCAAAACTGGGCGGCCGGGTGCAGTGGTGATCGAGTTGTGGCGCCCTGGACTGTGGCTCGAGTCAGTGGCGGCATGGTTAAAATGGTTGCTCGTGGTGGAGACACGGCTGTCGTTTCGGACCAGGTGAGGGGATGGGGCAACCTCACTACCTCCGGCCAGGAAGCTGGCTTCAGAGGGAGCTGTCATGGCCAAGCTGGAGGCAACATCATCAGCATCCTCTTCTTCACCGTCACTCAAGGCCACGTCCGCCATCCCATCCGCACTATCCAGCCCTTGGTGCAGCTCCTCTGCCAATGTGGGAGGCTGCTGATCAATGGTGGCATGCATTTCCAGCACTGTAGCTACGGGGTCGCTGCTCTCAGCTATCCGGGCGGCAGGCGGTGTGAGCTCAACTGGCTGGGCGGCCGCATCTGCCTCAGCACTTGGGGCCATGGTCGAGTCTTGTGCCGTCAAAGCGTCTGAAGCCAGTCCCAGGGCAAAAGGGTCATCGACAGATGGCTGCATGTCAGCAGAGCCGCGGGCAGCCTCCTCTTCGGTACTATCCACGGCGACGCCCGAATGACTCGGTTCGGGTGGGGCCAAGGCTTCTGCTGCTGGTGACTCGGGGGTTGCCACCACCTCATCTGACCCCACATGCATCGGCTCAGCCTCGGGTGCCAAGCTTGCCATGCCATCCTGGCCTTCCGCTACTGCAATCAGCTGCTCAGCATCGGGCTGCTCCAAGCCCGCGTCAGCGCTACCACTGCCATCGGCCGGCTCCATGACGCTCAGTGGCTTGAGGAAAAAATGTAAGCGAACGAGAAGTAGCAGAAGAAGATGAAGAAGATGTATATTTGAAGGAGAGCTTAACGTTGAATTGTGATTATAAATGAGAAGAAGATGAACATAGTGTCGGGGAGGAGTTACACAGGACCGGACGCTGGAGGTGTGCCGGGTGCCTTGGGTCGGTGACGCTTTCGATTGTCTTGGCAAGGCGAGCTGCCGTGGCAGTGAACAGTCCAGTGGTAGGAAGACGCGGGGAGCTACCGCTGAAAAGCGAAACTGGCTGGCTGGGCCATCAGATGCACAACAACGGAGGAGGAAAACTGCCGACGACAATAAGAACAAGGGCACGGTGTCATTAAAAGGAGAACAAAAAAAGGGGGGGATATTGAACAAGGGCATAAGTCTGGGAGTGTACAGGAGGGCGCGCACGACGATGGCTGCGCCCGAGGAGTTTGTGCTTAGACTTCAGCAGCGCCGTCGCGCATGGTCAGAGCTGTGATGCGGTCCATTAGGTCCTCATTGACCACTCGCAGGCGGCTGTTTTGCATCTGCAGTTGCTCCAGCTGTCGCCGCAAAGCCTGATTCTCCTGCTGAAGCTGGAGGTGCAATCGGAGCGAAGCCAGTGGAATGGGGTGGGATGGTGGATCATAAGGATCATGCAGCGGGCCAGTCGCTGCAAACGTGCGCGTTGCGTCATTGCTTGTCACCGGTTTGTCTCTTACCGCATTATTTTCCACTTTGAGCGCATCCTGGACCATGTTTTCGTCGTCAACGGAGCCTGCAGAAGCAGATGGCAGATGGCCAGGCGGGCATTCGGTGAGGGAGGCACGGTTGCTTGTGAACACGCGCTTGGCCAGCATCATGTCAGGCCCGGCTCACCTTCGGCAATGCTGCACATGGTGTTGGTGCGAGCCATGAGGGTAGGCTCTTCGTTGATCGAGTCATTGCTCAAGTTCAAGTCCATCGAGGCGCCGAGGTGTGAGCGATCTGTTCGAGTGGTCCAGGTAGAAGTGTTGGTTTGAGGTTCCGCGGTCGACCGTGTTCCTGTGGTTGAGCGCTCGCCCCGTGACGAGAGTTGCTGAGCGATCGTGGGCCCCGTTACACCGCCCTGCTTCTGAGTCTCGGGCCAGCGCAGAGGGAGAGACTCATTGGGATCCTCCCCGGTGGGGAACAGCGGTCGCGTCAACGACATGGATGATGTGGAAAGAGAGGAGTTGCTTGTGCTAGTTTTGCCATCCTGATGGTTCGGTCGCCACTTGGGTTGGGGCTGAGAGGCTTGCATGAAAAAGTGGGCCAGGTCTACAGATTCGCGGGACCCATTGTTTCGCTGCATCAAAGAGGTGGGCTGTACCAGCCGAGCTGGTATGGGTGCGGAGGGCAGCAGCAAGGCCTGTGCTGTGCTTGTTTCCTCCCCAAAGGCTAAGCGAGCCGGCTACACCCATGGCGGCATGGCAATCTTTGGTCAGAAAACAAGGTGTGATCCAGAACTGGGCGCTCTGGGAGGAGGAGGCTTGGTCAAGGGACGCATACCGAGGGTCGTAGAGGGCTTTCGCCCACATGATCGTGTTTGGTCTGTCGAAAACTCTTGCTACGCTTTCGTTGGCCTGCACCGGTGCATGCACGTCAGGTCGATGCAGGGCAGCACACGAGGCAGCTAGGCGACTGCCATTGGAGTAGTGCTGACTGCATACCTCTTGTGTTTAGATTCTGAACGGGTTGAAGTGCGGCGCGCTGCTGGTCACGGTACTCGGCCTGCTGCGAGAGCAGCGCCTGCGCAAAAAGGCATCGGCGTGAGACGGCGAGGTGTGGATGATGTGCAAGCAAGGCCTTTTGGAACGCACCTCGAGATGAAGGGTTGATGCCGTTTCCATTATCGTCAAGACAGGGCACCGGGCAGGGCGCTATAGAGTCAAGGCGGTACAAGCGGCACAAGCGGGGCAAGAATAGCTCGTCCGACTCGAGGAAAAGGCAGAGACGACGTCGTGCTTTTCAAGTCAAATGATTCTCTTTTGAAATTTTGGAAGGATTGGCCTGAGCCGTTGCAACAACACCAGCATCAACACCAGAGACCCCCACCCAGTGTGGCTCCCTTCGGAGATCTGATCGTTGCTGAGGCCGTTGGGCCCAAAAAGGAGTCTTGTGGTTGGTCAGCCAGCTGCCACGAGCTTGACTGCACAGCGGACGTCCCTTGCATGCATGCACATACTTCCAACGGCAATGGCGTTTTTTTTTTTTTTTGGTGCAAGTCTCGTTTTTTGGAAAAGCCTTGTGTGCATGGTGTAGAAGAAGTCAGTCCCACACTGCCCGAAGTAAGCCATGCCTCCCTCCCCTACCGTGCGGTTTGGCTGCTGGTTTTTGAGAATGTCTTTGAAGGACAGGTCGCACACGCTGAATAAACTGCTAAAATTGTGTTTGGCAGCACACAAACGTGCACCATCGATGCTGCAACCATGATCTACCAAGTCAAACCTTGCCTTGCCTTAAAGAGCTCGCACACCACTCGTGCGACTACTACTATAACTACTACTGCGACGACAACTGCGATACCACAAAGAACGCTCCCGTCCGACACCTTCTGTCCCAGAGGGAGGGGGGCAAGAAGAAGGCTTGCAGAGCGCAAGCACATAAACGGGGAAAGCGGTGGCCAAAACACAAAAACACCTAGAAGAGAGAGCGAGAAGAAGAAGAAGAAGAAGAAAAAAAAAAAAAAAAAAAAAAAAGCGAAAAGACAGGAGCCAAAACCGAAGAAGAAGGAGAAAAAAAAAGGAAGAGCTGCCGACGAAAAGATGGTCGCTGTCGCTTGTGTACCAATCGCGCGCCCGTGACGCCAATCATGCCTGGGAGTGAATACTAAGGCGCGGCCAGCGGAGGCGAGTGTTGACGGAGAGCATTGGCCATGTGCACTGCAAAACAGCCATTGCACAGGATCAGGCGGCGGTCACATTGACAATACGTGCGCACGCGCTTGGTGCATCCCTCTCCGCGACACCGACAAGCTTGTGCGGCCGCCTTGGTTCGCTTGCCTGGCTGCACACCTTCGTGCTTGGGCACGGGCCGAAGCACGTGCAGCACAGATGAGGCTGCGTTGGCCATTGGTCCGCGAAAGGCGCCCTCGGTCGACGAAGTGCGGCGCGTGGGTGTGGGAGCTGAGACCGGCTTGGCCGTCGGGGCAAGGGGTGTCTCCCGCACAGAAAGCCAATCGCGGCACAGCGCCACACCCAGATCGTGTCGAAACACGGCCAATAACGCGGTCAGCGTGACTCCACGAGCCATCGGGCGATCACGGTGAAAGCTCCAAAACGCGTTGATGAACGAAGCCGTCAAAACGCTTGCCAATTGGCGTCCGAGCCACGACGCGGTGGTCCACTTTTCCAACACGGCTTGAACTTCAGCTTCCCACAAGCCTACCGCGGCATGAGCGGCGCCCCGCCCCGCCACGTAGTCCTCAAATGGGGCGTTGAAATGGTATGTAATGAGGTCATTGCCAGCCCGACACTGGCGAGGTGCACCCGTCTGTGCGAGTGAGCCGTACGTCGAGAGTAGCAGTGATGTTTGTCCTGGTCGCCTCAGTGCATACAAATGCAAGGGCGTGCCCTCCACTTGGCCCTGGCGACCAGAGAGCAGACCAAGAGGTTGGTGTGTGGCAAAGGCATGTGCTTCAGAACCCGGGATCTGAGGCGGCCAATGGCCCTCGCGCTGTTGCACTCCCACGCACGCGTGTAAATCGGCAGTGGCCAGGGCCCGCAGTGTATGTGGGACACACAGCTCACTGTCCAGGGCGACCACCCGGGGCACGGGTTGCTGGCGCAAGCTGCGAGTCAGGCGCATCACCTTGGCAGTGGTAGGGTCGTGTTCATCGTCAAACGCCCGCGCCTTACCCATGGCAGCACGCTCTGCAGGACCCTCGAGACGTTCCATGGCCAGTATCACATTGGTCACGGCATCACATGCTACCACGTGAGCCTGTGAGGTGACGCAGGGCACGTGTTGAATACGAATGTGTGTATCGGCAAAGGAGCGCCGCGCTGCCTGGGACGCGTCGATGCCGATCAGGTGTGATGGACTGTAGACACGGGCCATGTTGGCGTTCCATTCGTCCAGAAGCTGCCAACCCTCTAGCAGCGGGCCAGTCTCATCCTCGCCCGGGGGCTGCACATCATCTGCACTGGACGCCAGGGCCAAGGCAGCCACCACGGCCTCAAAGCGTTCACGAGGCATGATGTCTCCGAGCTTGAGGCGTGCCTCAAAGCGGGTCTCTGATGGTTCCCAGACGTGCTTCACGGGGCCCCGCACCGTTGTGGACAGCAGGGTGGCGCCAAAAAACGCCATGAGCTCACTGCGAGCTAGGGGCGCACCGCCCTTGAGCTGGGCGTTGGTGCTGTGCAGGAGACGATCCAATATCTTGTCTGGAAACAACTGTTGAAACAGTGTCACAGGATCCAATGCATCTCTCTCGGGCAGTGTGCGAACAAAGGTGAACTCTGGCGCCTTTCGATTAATCTCGGCAGTGGCCAAGACCTCACTGGCCGAGCCCCAGGCATCAAAGGTGACAGATGGCGTGGCTGTTCGCTTGGCTGCAGGCGAACCATCCTGAGACGGCGCCACGTCAGTGGAAGAGGGGGCATCGGGCCAAGGCACGAGGTCTGGTCTCGTCGGGGGCTCAAAAAAGAGATCGGTCACATCCGAGATCACGGGGTCTGTCGGGCCGGCAACATCGGGTATCGGGATTTCAGACAGCGAAGAAGCAGGGTCAGGTGTGTTGTTGGTGGAGGCTGCAAGTGGGGCTGGGGCCGCCCCGGCAGCGGGTGCGGGCGCGGGCGCGGGTGCGGGCGCAGGCGCAGGCTTGCTGGTGGCGGCCAAGTTGGCAAGAGCCTGCTCTGCAGCGGCAACGGCGCTAGGGCTGGGCTCGTCAGTTTGGACATGGACACGGCGACTCCACATGACGCCATGCGTATTGGGGTGGGCCAGCAACACGGCGCGCAGCGTCTTGCCCTTGATGTTACGTTGGCCAAAGCCCACGACGATCAGGTCACGAACCGTGGCTGAGGGCGCGTCGGCCAGCGGCAAAGCCAATTCTGAAGGGTAAAGGGCTCGCCGCTTGGCCCCGACATGGTCGCGCAGCTGAGGTGTTTGTGACATGGCGCTGGCGCGTGGAGCTGATGGTGACGGCAGCGTCTGGGCAAGGATTTCAAGCGAGCCTGGCTGGCTAGGCCGTGTGAAAAGGGCCCTGGCGTCGTGGCCTGCTCGGTTGGGTTTCCGCCTGGTGAGCGTCAGTGTCGCTGTGACATACCTCCCGCTGGTCCACAAGCCCGCCGACCCCGCTCAAATGATCAAGACTGCACAGTCGTTTTTGAGGCGAGACTTGCGCTCCCCTCGCCCCCACCCAATCACCGCCAATGCAATACCAGTGCGATGACAATCAGGTCACCACACATGCACGCGTGGCGTCCGGTATCAGGGTACGATGACGATGACGACGACGACGACGGCTGGATCAGAAGAAGCACAAGCGCCAGAAAAAAAAAAAAAATTCGCGTTCTGAAGTGTGTGTGTGTGTGTGGTGTGCGCTCCAAAATGGTGGAGTCACGTCTTTCTCTCAAACCGGGTACGCTTTTGTTTCTAGGTCTATGTATCTCGGAAGCGTGTGGATTATCTCTGATTTGCCTCTATTTTTGCTCTAGAAGTTGGTTCAAGCTGATACACTCTCTGGTAACATCCCGATCTTACAAAGTATCTCTGCTTTTGACTGCGCCCCGCGTCATATCTCTGACATTGAAGGGTCAGATGTCAACAAAATCAGTTTTTTTTGTTTTTGGCACGTGATCCTCATCAACTTGGGTCGCTCGGCGGGAGAGAGTGGGACACGGGCAGGAGCTGCTCAAAAGCGGCGACCACCACCACGGAGAGAGAACAATTAAAGGCAGGCCAAGCGGCTGAGGGTTTCAGGTTGATCAAGGCTAGGCGTTGCGTGCGATCAAAACTCGGAGCAGGTGTGTCAGAGAGGCTGAATTTTAATGTATTCCAGCTAGGTTCATGATTGTTATCATGGCATGCTTTGCCGACAAGAATGAGCGAAAGGCCCGAAGATGGGGGAGGGGGGTCGCGTATAGCAGCCAATCTCAATTGACAGCATAAATAAGGTTCAGTTACAGAAGATCGGGGGATGGTGAGGTGTGGTAAGAGGCTGGGTGTGTTTCAAATAACAGTTTCTTGTCCAAAAAACTTGCTCACTCGGCTGCGCGGAGATGATTGCCCCAGGCTCGAGGTACGCAACGAAGGGCTCTGATCCGGGGATGACGGGATGGACTGAGTCTGTGAGGGTGAACTTTGGTGACGATCAAGGGTATGCATCGAGGACGCGTTGCGCAATGGCGCCTCGGCGTGGCTGGATGACCGCAACAAAGCATTCAGGTTGAGATTGTCCACGCTGCCCCGTGAGATGCGTGTCAAATCACGTCGCGGGACTTGCGAGCTCCGTGCCCCACTACCGTTGAGCTCGGTCACAGTGACCTTGTCTCCTTCCACAGGCCCCTCAGCGCTCCTGACCGAGTCAGAGGGCTGAAAAACAGCCGCGGCCTCGTCAAGCAAGCGATTGGCCGTGGGGCTTTGGTCTGGCTTGGGGTGTTCAGCACTGCTCGGCCGGGATCCAGAGGGAGATGCGGAGAGGCTTGCGGACTTGGAAGGAGTGGCTGGCGCCGGCACCGCATCTCCCTCGACCTCTACGTATTCATCCCGCTGTGTGGCTGCGCCGCCCTCGTCTTGGTCGGGCGATTCATCATCAGACTCGTCTGCACTCTCGTCTGCACTCTCGTCACTGCTCGACGTAATATCGACGCTGAGGGCCACACGCGAAAATTGTTCGCGTGCCGAGTTGGGCGACGGTGGCGCCGAGGCGGGCCGGGCGCCCCATGACGCTTGAAGATGGTCACTGGAAGCCTCCCCGAAATCAGCTGCGGGCTCGAGGCGTTGTCGACGCGAGTGGCGCTGGTATGCATCATGGCGCAGATTGAGCGCCCCAAAACCTGGCTCCATGCCCGACACATCGCTTGCCTCGTCATCGCTGCTTTCAAAGCCCTCAACCTCCTGCGGCTCTGGGGTCATGACTTGCAGCCCATCGGCGTCTTCATCAAGCTCCGCCACGCCACTGAGGACGGTCTCGCGATGGGCAATCAGCAGCTCCATCAACTTGTTCTGGTGCGACATGTGATGCAGCTACAGACAGTCGCAGGTCAGCCCCCAAGAAGCAAATCACATGACGACGTGAGGGGCAAAGAACTACAAGACATGCCATGGGTTGCACGGCAAGAAGGTCAAAGCAGCAGAGAGGCAGGCACAGGCACATCAACGCACCATGGTCATCGGGGTTTCAACCAGGGGGCGGACGACCGTAGGCCCAAAAATCAGGGCAATGTTGGTTAGAGACATGCGGTTTTCGTCGCTCAGCTTGACCACTCGCTCCAAGTGGGCCAACAAAAAGTCGAGTGTCAGTCGATGATGCAGGGGCATGTGGGTCGCCAATAGGACGGCCACGGAGGCCACCCGATCCTCATCGGCCCCCTTCATGGCCTGCATCAGCTGTGCGCACCACAGAGGCATCACAATAACATCCACGAGTAAAAAGAAGGAAGATCATGCGGGAGCAAACCAATGAGGGTGAGCCCTGTTCACGTGAAACGTGGCGAAAGGGGCAAGCCGATCATACGTACGGGTTCATAAGCAGAAGCCGTGAGCAGAGGTTCAGTCGTAGTGCGGAGATAAAACTTGATGGTGCCGGCCAACACGTGGGTATCAGCATACGCATCCTCATCGAGTGGGCAGTTTACTGGATCTCGGATGATAGCGCGCTTCAAGTTCTCCAGCTGCCAAACGAAGAAATGGGGCGATGAAAACAGTTGTGAGATGCTGCGTTTGTTTCCTTAAACACCTCTTATGGGAGGGGTGATAGCTCCTCAACCAGACTAGACGAGAAAAGCCCAACGAGGCGCGACAAACCTGTGATTGACTACCCGCGTGGCGATAAATGCCATCCTCATGCAGACCTGCACGTCAGGACAAAAAACAAAAACAAAAAACAAAGTGAGGACTCTGAGAGGGCTTTTGGTTGATGTCCAAGCACATGCACGCACCTCGACGCTCCAATTCATCAATCAACCGCGTTAAATGAATTGGCACCTGCGTGCCGTAGCGCGCACAGGTCGTCGCGATCGGGGCCGTGAAGATGTCAAGCTGATCATCCAGCATGCCTTCCTTGGTTGACTATCAGCACAAACAAACAAACAAACAAACAAAAAAAAAAAAAAAAAAAAAAAAAAAAAAAAAAAAAGTTAGCAAAGCCAAGTTTTCAAATCATCCCGCGTTGACTTTAAACAAAAGGGAAGATTGCCGGCGGCCGTTTCGTACTCCCACTCACCTTGTCGCCACGCTTAAAGGTCATGCGCAGCAGCTTCTTGCCACTGCCGGCGCTGCTGGCACCACTGCCCCCATTGCTACCAGCCATCAGATCTTTGGCCGAGGGACGATTAGTTTTGAAGAGCTGGCTTCGGCTTGCCGTTCTACCAAGGTGGGGTGAACGTGATTTGAGTGAGCCATCGGAGCGCCGCCTCAAAAGGCAATTGGGGAGGCAAGTTGATGCAGAAGCGGGACACGAGGCAGCAACCAACCCGGGCAGAAGCATAGAGCCCGATGCCCGGCGAGAGAGACGGCGGTCTTCGGTCATCTTCTTGATAAAGGCGTGGCTTGGAACCAAGTCTTGGTCCGGGTTGCTATGCGCCTACTCGGGCAAGATCGTGCACTGAGAAGAGGGGGAGGGACAAACACCAGGGGCCGAGAAAACCGAGCAAAGGCAGTGATAGACAACGACTGATTGTCTTGGGTACCTGAATGGCTTGGATCCACTTGAGCATATCCTCACGGGTGTCAGCGCGCAGCAGGGATTCTGAACCGTTGAAGGCCTTGATGTAAAAAACGTTGGGGTGCTTTGTGTATGCGTGGGCTATGTCGCAGATGGAGCCCTTGATGCTGATACGACCACCTGGGGCACAGGCAACGCCCATGAGGTCAACGCCAGCGTCAGCACACGCCGTGTATTCGCTTAGCAAAGTGCAACTTTACTGACCAGAGGGAGCTGCGCCTTGGGCCTTCTCGGTCTTGTCCTTGGGCGAGTAGAGAAACAGCAGGTGGCCTCGCAGCGTTGCAAAATAAGTGCGCCAGGGCCGCTAGAAACACACACCAATCGCGCATGGTCAATCCGGTGCGAGGCTCGGCTCGGGCGAGTGACCAAAGGCAAGGCTGGGGTGAGGACTTACCATCTTGAATTTACGGCCCCCAGAGTCAAGCACGTGCTTGACATGCAGCGTACCCACGCGAACAATCTTGAGCCCGGTGTTGAGCATGGCATCCCCTTCTTCGACCTTGTCTGCTGGCTCGGCCGAAGGCTGTCTGAGAAGGTCCTGGAAATGTTCGGTCGACCGCCGAGGGGAAACACCTGGTGGCGAGGATGGATTGCTTTCCTGTTGGGTTCAAAAACAATCCCCGTCACCAGGCAGTCAGGTACAGCGGCGCCAATCACACTGGCATTCGCACGGGCGCGGCAGGTGGGCAGACACTCCCAAGATGCTCCAGTCATACTCACCGCCATTGGTGCTGGATACTCGTCAATAGACTCCACGGTGGACTCTGGCTTGATGTGACTGGCCACGGGAGAAGTATGAATTTAGGAACGGCGACATGCAAAAGACCAATAACATCACAGCAGGAGGAAAGAATTACCTGATCTCAAGGATGACAGTGCCGGTGGCATCGCGGAGCATCATCTCGACTTCCTCCACGGTGAGGCGCGACACTTCATGGCCGTTGATAGAGTGAAGAAGGTCACCTTCATTGGCCGGACAGAAAAGATCGAAGAACCAGGCAAAAACAAAAACCAAGCAAAAACAAAAACCAAACAATCAAAAACAAACAAGCCGGGCCCGCGTGTCAGAAGTTTGACAGATTGCTGGGGGAGAATCAAAAGGGTGGGGGACGTGGGCAGGCATACCGGGCGAAACCTCGGCCGCTGATGCTTGCTGAGCATCGACGCTGGCCACAAAGACGTGACCTGAAATATCATCATCCATGATTCCCAAGCGCTATGTGGATGGCACGTCGGATGGAATGAGGATATAAAAGGCCATGGCCCGGACCAGATTCAGACCAGTCCAATCAGCACTCTTTAGGCATACCGAGATGCGATTGCTTTGATTCTTGAAAAAAAGTCTGATTTCTGGTCCACCAGGCACGCTCTATACCGGTTCGGCGTGAGTGGGCGGTTCTTGAGGCATACGTTTGGGGTAGAGGGGCAAGGGGCATGCTCGATAAAACGCACCGTTGTTTCCGATGTGCGCGGGTACACCAGCTGCTGCTTGTGCACCTGGAGCTTTCGTAAAGTCAGACCGTAGTCACCACGCTGACGCGGACGAAGTGTGGTTGTGCGCTTAGCCTGCGCAAACACACCAACAGATAAAAGAAGAAATCAGGTCCAGCACCAACCATGGAGTCCTCCCAAAAAAGCACGCGCCGTGGCCAAGAGGACACGCGGAAAAAAAAGAACAGATTTTTTTTGATGGGCGTGATTGCAACGTAGGCGCGAGTAGGCTAAACAGGGCGCGCACCTCGTAGTCAACGTGCATGAGGTTCTCGCTGACATTTTTGCGAGCAACCTTGTGTAGCCGTAGCTGTGGTGAGTTGAAAGAAGCAGAGCCATGAGAAGCACAAAATTAGGACTGCGACAGACACGTCGGTGGAAAGGAGCAAGCATGTGTAAAGCAAGAGGCTGATGAGCATGTGTGTCACAATTGTGGCGGAAACTTACGCGCAGCTCTCTGAGGGCATGGCTGCCAGAAATGGTGGAGGCCCGCGAATTGCGGCCCAGGCTGCCCTCATTGAGTGTGGACATGGAGGAGGATCTGGCAGAATCGGGACCAGATGAGAGGCAGGCGGGGTTGGTACAGCTCCATACGAGGTAAAAGGACTGTGTGTGGCGTACCGGCGCATGCGAATGGGAGAAGTGCCATCCGGCTCAAGGTCTTGCCGGTACTTTTCCCAGACGCGATCAAACTTGGTGGGGTCATCCGAGCCAAACGAGCCATGTAGCAAGCGCGACTGCAGCGGCGACAGGTCTAGCACGCGCAATAGCAGGTGCAGGTGTGTGTGTGTGTGAGTGCGAGTGTGGGTCAACTGACATGGTTGGGGCGTCGGATGTGCTGGCGCTGGTACGCACTGGCGATGGTTTGGGGACGATTGTCACGGCCTCGCAGCCGGCGCGAGCGGCGAACGACCTGGCCATGGCAAGGCAAGGTCATATACATAAGTCAGGGGGTGCGGCGCGTCATTTTGCAAGAGACTGAGCGGCTGTGCTCAAGGAATGGGGGAACGCACCAGATCGTAGGCAGTACCGGGTACAAGTTGATCCGAGGTGGGGAGGTGGGTGCCGCCATCACCATGGAGCTGAGTAGGAAGGCAAGGAGAGGGAGGGGCGTAAGGATGAGAAGAGACACCATGCACGTTGTTGAGGAGAGTGGTAAGGTTGGGGTGTGGCAACCAGGAAGGGCGGGGACAGCGAAAAAGTTCAGGGAAACCATGTATGCATGGTGAACAGACCTCAATGCGAGCGTCCACCGGTAGATCAAAGGCAGTGACAAGCTTGGAGAGGGAGACGCGACGATTTTGGAGCTGAGCAACAAGAGCACAGGAAGGAACCGGGCGGGTCAGAATGAAATGGTGGGTGTGGAGGCGCGGCCTTCAAGAGGGAAGGTCGGGTGGAGGAAGCAGGCTCACGATCGAGCCTGCAGAGGGTTCTTCAGACCTTGAGGGGTTGAGCCCAATCACCGTAGAGGACGGTGACCTCGTCGCTGGCACTGGAAAAGCGGCGCTGGCTGGCAGAGGTGGAGGCCTCGAGGCGAATGCTGGGGATAGATGGCGTCTGCACATCTGTGTGAAGAGGGGATGGGTGTTCATCTGCTTCGGCAATGGCAGATTCAGCAGCACACACAGGATCTGTGGCAGCTGACCCCGCATCCACCGGCGCTCTGTGATTGTCCGACGGCAAGGGCTCGGAGGCAGGGGGCAAGTGTGGGCCGGAGGACTGCGCGGGTGCCGGGGGGATGACCAGGGCTTCATCGCTAAGGCGGGAGAGCAGGGCGGCGCCATCTTCAAGCGAGGCCAGGACAGGGTCCTCAACGTTGTCGTGGGAATCGGTCAGATCCATGCTGCTGGTTCTCTCGAGTCGCTCAGGGGTGCCCGAGCGAGATGCTCGCGCGCGGGCCAACAAAGGAAGGGCCACCAGGGGGAGGGAAGGACGGAAGCGAAACAAGGCAGGAGAAGGACGTAAGGGCGTGTACTGGAGTAAAGGACCTGGTCTTGTGGTAGTGTTAGGCAACGGCCAGGCCAGCCATGGCCAGCACGCACAAGTGCTCAAGGCGTGACGCTCAGGGGCAAGTGCGAACAGTAAAAAAAAAAAAACGAGAAAAAAATGATGGAGCATAAGAGTTAGAGAGAGAGAGAGAGAGAGAGAGAGAGAGAGAGAGAGAGAGAGAGAGAGAGAAGAGAGAGAGAGAGAGAGAGAGAGAGAGAGAGAGAGAGAGAGAGAGAGAGAGAGAGAGAGCTATCAGCACAGCACAGTGCTTTGGAGGTGTTGAGAGAAAATGAATCGCCAAGGAAAGGCAGAGGGGAAAAAAGAGAGCGTTGATGCTATCCAGAGGTCGAAGCAGTGTTCTGTCAACCTGTATGTGTGTATTGATAAATGCTATCCGGGCGCAAAGCCCGCTGCCATTCAGTCCCTCCGGTCAGTATTGGCCACGACACTGGACAAGGAAGAGAGAGAGAAGAGAGAAGCGAGAAGAGAGAAGAGAGAAGCGAGAAGAGAGAAGAGAGAAGAGAGAGAAGAGAGAAGAGACATAAGGAAAGCCCTTACGTCTCTTTTGCCAGAACATCATTGGCGCACGAGCGAGCGAGTGGGCATTCACGCCGAACAACATCTTGTCACGACCAGTGCTCAAAAAGTCGAGAACACGTGTTGTGACTAGTTCCATGTATTGTTACGCAATCGATTCATCAACGCGCCTTCTTGGTCTTCCCAGCTGTCAACACGAGTAGTCTCATGGCGGACGGGCATTTTGTGACGTGGTCACTGCCCGCCATGGCGCAATCTGAGAATGCTCGATGCGACTGGGCGGGCTCCTTGCCTTTGCTCGAGCAACCTGGCAGTCGGCAGTTGGAAAACACACATGAAGTGCGTGCTCATGACTGTGCTGCGAGTGGCAGAGGATGTGCCTTTGGGGCTCAGCAGTGACGATGAACAACGCGAATCGGTTGCAGGTCTCGACTTGCCCGCTGCCCTGGGTTCAGCCATGCGGGTCACACGCCATCCATCCTTCGAGGGCCGACAACGCACTCGGAGAACTAGTGGCAGTCAACAAGATTTGCAACGCACAGGCGTCGCACGTCCCATGAAGCGCACGATCACCCGTGCACCCTTGAACAAGTATCACCAGCTTCCAAATAGTGCCAAGCTCAACGCGCTCGCGATCCTCGGAGAACGGCCAACGACTGCTGAAGTCAACGAGGTGGCTCGTCATGTCGGGGTGGCACCCGGCTCCGTGCGTTATTGGATGAAGCAGAAGCACTCTTTGCTCGAGCGGGAGCCCACTCAAAAACGCCCGCGTCAAGGTTGGTCTCGCCCTTTCTTTTGGTGCTGGTGATGTGCTCTCTTTGATGGAACTTGTGTCGTGCCACATGACAGGCAAATACCTACTCTTGGAGCAAAAGCTGTTGGCTTGGTTGGAGAATTCCCAATCCCCTGCAGGAGAAAACGGACGCCCTCTCTCTTTGTCTCGTCGAGAGCTACTAGCCCATGCTGCCCAGATTCAGGAGGGGCTGCATCGCGCTGATGAGGCGCAACCCGCCATACTCCAAGGAGGAGATGCGTGGATTGATCGCTTTCTGCGGCGGCATGCACTTACCAGGGTCAAGTGCCATGGGCAGGCTATCTCAATTGATCAAGGTGCTCGTGACACAGAGCTGCTTCAATTTGTTAACGACCGCACGGCATTCGGGGCTCCATTGGAAAACATTTTCAACATGGACGAGACTGAACTATTTTACCAGGCCACGCCCAAGTACACAATCGCCCCAATAGAACACCAGTGCCTGGTGCAGGGCGTGCAGGACGTGCAGAGCACGAGCCGCGTCACGGTCATTGCTTGTGCCAGCGCCACGGGCGAACGTATGCCTCTTACGGTCATTGGCAAATCTGCGAGGCCGACGTGCTTCAAGCGCGAGGGCGTACGGCCTCAAGACTTTGGTGTTCGCTATGTTGGACGAACAAAGAGTTGGACTGCGATCAACATTTGCTACACCTGGATCACGGATAGCTTCATTCCGTGGTCTCATGATCGTCTGTTCGATCGGAAGGAGCACGTTGTTCTGATTTGGAACAGCGCGCCAGCTCACATGCTTACGAAGGAAATGCTTGAGGACATCGATCACCGATCAGAAGGACGGTTACATTGTCTATTTCTACCGAAGAACACGACGGCACAGCTGCAGCCTCTTGACCAGGGTGTAATTAGCACCTTGAAGAATCGCTATGTGCGGTTATTGTCTGCCAAGAAATGGGCATGGTCCAATTGGGACGAACTGCGCGAAGCAGGGAGTCGCATGTCAACGCCGGGCTGCAGCTTCGCGTATACCCCAAACATGCTCGATGTTTGTCGGTTGCTCGCCACGGCTTGGCAAGATGTGAGCCGAGAAGCCATTATTCACTGTTGGACCCGAGCCGACTGCCTCCCAGAGCATTTGACGACAAGTCTTCGAGAAGCAGCGACCAACGGCCAACAACAACTTGATGAGATGCGCAGAGAGGACGAAGAGGCCATTCACGAGCTGACAAGTGCGCTCGCCAAGAGCATGCAAAGACTATCATCCCCGTCACCCGTTACAGCTTCTCAGGCCGATCTTCCCCGCTTGCAAGAGAGCAGCAACACGCCCACTCATGCATACGTAGTGGAGGTTCAATCACTTGACATGATGTATAGGGAACACGAGCGTATCCTGGCCCACTTGACCGCTGACGAGGAGATGGATACAACCATTGAGGACGACACCACTTCAACGCGCTCCAATTCTCCATGTCTGCCTGACACCGAGGCGCTGCGCTTGCGCCAAGCATTATCCCCAATTCGCAAACAGCTTGGCCTCTCAAAACGTGACTTCATACGACGTCTCGCGGCTGAATACGACGAGACTGATCTCTTGCAGTTGGCATTGTGTTCTTCCTGCCTGTGTGTGCTTTTGCATCATCGCCCCGAAATCCACTCGAAGTCGAATTCATTCTATAGACTACTACTGCTCGCACAGTGAGATTTGATCAGAGCATAGTAGACGCATTATTCTGTCAAGTTCTTCATTTAATGTTCATAAGAAGGAGAATACGTGCACAGCGCTCGGAAATAGTGCAGCTCCGAGGCCATGCTTGTGAGGTTCTAGCAAGCTAGAAGCCTCACCGCTGCCAAATATTGACTTGACAAGTTACCCATCCGGAGATGGGCTTGTTCTTGTCAAAGAACAATAAACGTTTACTACTAAAGATCATAGCCAAAAGGCTAGAAGCGATACTGATTCAAAGTTTGGTTTTCTATTATAAACCATGTAAAAGTAAAAGTGACTTGTGGGTGAATTTTTATGGTTTTTGTTATCTCGAACCTGGTAGCAGCTCTGGCAGGGACAAACCATCAACCACAAGACGCTCAGCTCAAGTCCTGACCCACATCTTTTTTTGTGCGTGAACCTGTCATTACGCATCACACGACTTTGGCACATCGTTGTGTTAAGGAGGCAGCCAAAGGAAGAACTTTCAAATGCAATGTGGTTGTAGACGCCAGGCTCAAGTTCCGACTACGCACATTCTTGTGTCAAGGAAGCAGCCAAAGGATGGCACAGGTACATCAAATGCAATGGTGGCTGTCGAGTTGACAAGGTAAACAAAATTTTTGTTAATTTGAGAGGAGATTTACTCAAGCACCAGTGCGGTTCAAAGCTGAACGACAAGGCAAAGGAGCAAACCAAGGCAAAAGAATGGGAGAAGGTCGCACTACCAAAACACTGGCTTTGCCAATTTAAAGGGAAGCGGTCATCATTGGCACTGCAGGAACAGAGAAAAAACCCCCGCAGAAAAACAAAGCCGACTGTCCGAGGCAAAACAAAGGCGCGAGAGCGGAGAGGGAAGAGAGGAAAGAAAGAAAAGGTAAAAAAAGTAGAGGAGCACAAAAAAGCCTATGCGCTAGAGGAACAATTTACTCGTCCTGGGCAAGAGACTCGGCCTTGGTGGCGACCTCGTTGATGTCACCGACCATGTAGAAGGCAACCTCGGGCTTGTCATCGTGGTGACCATCAAGGATCTGACGGAAGCCGTCAATGGTGTCCTCGAGACGCACAAGGCGGCCGGGCTGGCCCGTGAAGGGAGCGGCAACCTCGAAGGGCTGCGAGAGGAAGCGCTGAATCTTACGAGCGCGGGCGACGGTCATCTTGTCATCCTCGGACAACTCATCCATACCAAGGATGGCAATGATATCCTGGAGCGACTTGTAGTCCTGGAGGATCTTCTGGACATCACGGGCGGTCTTGTAATGGCGCTCACCGACAACGGAAACGTCGAGGATACGCGAGGTGGAGTCAAGGGGATCGACGGCGGGGTAGATACCCAACTCGGCAATACCACGGGAAAGCACAGTGGTGGCGTCAAGATGCGCGAAGGTGGTGGCGGGGGCGGGATCGGTCAAATCATCAGCAGGCACGTAGACGGCCTGGACCGAGGTAATGGAACCGACGGTGGTGGTGGTAATGCGCTCCTGCATCGCACCCATGTCCGTGGCCAGAGTGGGCTGGTAACCGACAGCCGAGGGGATACGACCCAAAAGGGCAGACACCTCCGAACCGGCCTGGGTGAAACGGAAAATGTTGTCAATGAAGAGAAGCACGTCACGGCCCTGGTCACGGAAGGACTCGGCGACGGTCAGACCGGTCAGAGCGACACGGGCACGAGCACCTGGGGGCTCGTTCATCTGGCCGTACACGAGAGCGACCTTGGAGTCACCCTCGAGCTGGATGACACCACCCTCAATCATCTCGTGGTAGAGATCGTTACCCTCACGGGTACGCTCGCCGACACCGGCGAACACGGAGAAACCGGAGTGAGCCTTGGCGACGTTGTTGATCAGCTCCATGATAAGCACGGTCTTGCCGACACCGGCACCACCGAAAAGACCTGAGGAAAAAAAACCGACAAAATGTCGAAAAGTGAGAATTACAGCCAACTGATATGACAAAATAAAAATAAAAAATTGTGTGTCAGATCAGCCCGATGAAAAAGAAAGAAAAGGAATATTGCATGGTGGATCCGTTTGTGTCACATCGCGAAAGGGCAAGCGTCGAACACTCGGGATCCTCATGCGCCGTATAGCATGCCCGTTTACCAGTTGTGATGTCAGAAAACAATCGCAACTGGAGATAAAAGCTGCATGAAAGAACAAGCGTGTTTCGGTGTGCTGTGCTAATGCGCAGAAAGCATACTCACCAATCTTGCCACCCTTGGCGTAGGGGGCGAGCAGATCGACGACCTTGATACCGGTCTCAAGGATCTCAGCCTCGGTCTTCATGTCCTCGAGCTCGGGAGCCTCAGCGTGGATGGGGGCGTACTTGTCAGCCTTGATGGGGCCACGCTCGTCAATGGGCTCACCAATGACGTTCATGATACGGCCAAGGGTGGCCTCACCGACGGGCACCTTGATGGCGTCGCCAGTGTCGACAACGGGCTGACCACGGACCAGACCCTCAGTACCGTCCATGGCAATGGTACGGACGGTGTTCTCACCGAGATGCTGGGCAACCTCAAGGACAAGGCGCTGCTCACGGCCAGCCACCTCAAGACCGTTGAGGATGGGGGGCAGGCGACCATCGTCGAACTTGACATCGACGACGGCACCAATGACTGACACAATCTTGCCGTTGGCAACCGCCTCCGCATAGTGGCGGGCTGCAAGCAAGCCGGGGAAAGCATTGAATTACAATCCATGAATATCGGCAACACGCACAACAATCCCTGAGCACGCCGACACAGGCCAGACCCTCCTCCCCCAGAAGCAGCAAGTGTTGCCACTGGCTTACCAGCGATGCCAGAGACGACGGGCGCGCGCGAGGCGCTGAGAACGGCACGGGAAAGCATGGTGGCCTGCCAAACGAGCCCAACGATTGCAGAGGATCACAAAAAGTGAGTGCAACTGCCGTGGGAACTGTCAGCTTGAGTGCACAGCAGCAGACGGCACATGCACAGAATGCACACAAGACAAGAAAACGGTCTGTCCCTCCAAGGTTCGTGTGGCAATGTGGCGCCAGTCGACAACACAAATCAAGAGAACTGGCAGAGCGGCAGAGGCAGTCAATCAAGCACTCCCACACACGGAAGCCCAAAGTCCAAACAAGTGCTGCCGTGCGGAAAGGCAGCCCGAGCAGCTAACGACCCCATCTCCAAGGCTGTATCGTCCATGGCACAAAGACTGGCCGGCCGAAAGGAGCAGAAGCGAGCCGCCGACCCGAGCTGCTTGTTCCCTTGGCAGCAAACCAACCGACAACAAGGAATAAAGAAAAAGGCTGCCCTTCCAGTGTCGGACGACAGATGTACCCTCACTGAACGCGTCTTGTTTGCTCCGCCCGCTCGGCACGACGGCCAGCCGAACGACCCCTTGGAGCTTGCCCGAGCAAAGCCACAGAGAGCAACACACAACACATGGTCAAAGCCGCCAACACACTGCTGGTTACCTGTTAGGGTGAGCTTGCCAAATGGGTCAGTGGCTGATGCTGACCACACACGACAAAAAAAGAAAAAGGGAGGAGAGAAGCGGAGAGAAGCAGGAGGGTGTTGGACCTTTGAACCCTGCTGCACCACTTGTGCGGCAAACAGAGGGGGGGCAAAAAAAAAAAAAAAGGAGAAAGCCCTTTGCCCCTTTGTGTTGGCACGTTGCAACGGTGAAGGCAAAGGCGGAGGAAGGGGAAGGGGGAAAATTCTGAAAAGTTTAAGCGGGAAAATCCAGACAAACACAATACGCGTTTATCTTACTGCCGGTATAGATTTAAAACCTTTTTTCACCATCTGCTTTATACAAAATTCTCAACATCCTCTGGGCCGAGGCGGAAACATCAAAGTGTACCTTTGGGTACACTATCCCCACACGCGGCTGCAAACGAACCGATCAAACAGCAACACGTTGGGTAAACGTGTATGATGTATCGCAACCACATGATGTGGCACTTTTCCTTTTTAGCGCCCTTTGACTGTTCAAGGTACGTGCCGAGTGCACCAACTCGAATGGCAGCCGGGCAGCGCGCCCAGCCGAGGGAAACGGCTGTTGCTGGTCCGCGTTTTCGTTGGTGTTGTGAGGGTGTGTACCGGTGCTGTGCTGGTGGCGATGGCAGCGGAGGGGTCGAGGCTGTTTGAGCTAGCGTTTCCTCGAGGCTTGGAAAGTGTCACGGAAAAACGGAAACACGAGTTGTGCGCATGTGTCGGGGTTGTGTGTCAAGGCAGCGTGCTGGCCAGTCACGGCCCGGCTCTCCATGGGCGGACGGGCGGGGCTGGGGTGGCACAATGCTGGACAACTTCCGTGCATGCGCCTGCCTTGTTGTCGCTACGCTGGTTCTCGTGCCTCTGCTGCCATTGCTGCTGGAAGCATGTTTGCTTCAGTGCGGCGCTGGTTCGCATGCCTGTTTTTTTTTTGGGTCGTGGCACTCGCGCTTTGAGCGTGCGGGTCTCAGGGCCTTGTTTAGGCAGAGAAGGGGGACGGATCCCTGGAGCCTTGTGTGATTGTTCTTTGTCTTCTTCCCGTTGCTCGTAGCCACTTTTTCTTCTTTCAACAACCATCACAATGGCTGGCTCCAAGACCAAGAAGTCTGGTGAATCCATCAACCAGAAGCTCGCTCTGGTGATGAAGTCGGGCAAGGTATGTTTGTTCTTTTTTTTGACTGCGCATTGATCTCCAACACTTGGGGTTCGGTCCGAAGCTGGACGTCCATGTGACCACGTGATGTTGTGTAGAGAGTACACCTGGTCATCTCACCATGCCTGCTTGCAATTTGATTAGTACGTCCTCGGCTACAAGAGCACCCTCAAGGCGCTGCGCTCTGGCAAGGCCAAGCTCGTCATCCTGGCCAGCAACACCCCTCCTCTCCGCAAGTCTGAGATTGAGTACTACGCTCTCCTCAGTCGCTCCCTCGTCGAGCACTACAAGGGTGACAACATTGCCCTCGGTACCGCTTGCGGCAAGTACTTCCGTGTCTGCACCATGGCCATCACTGACGCTGGTGACTCGGACATCATCCGCTCCGTCGCTGATGCCCAATAAGCTCCCTTTTGACTAAGGACGTGTTGTGGTCCTTTTATCGCAACCGCCCGCCAATTGGAAGCCCCCAGAGCACACCATTTATTATTATTATTATTATCACTTTGATTCAACCCTTTTCCGTCATGGCAAATTTTTTGGCCATTGGTCCCCGTGGAGCGGACCGTTCTTGCCGAGGCACATTGCAGGTCGGAAGCGAGCCATCACAGGTCGACCCATCTGGCTTGTTGTTGTCAAGCATGCCTGGTCTACGACCAGCACACAGTCTTTGCAAGTATGGTTAACCCTTCAATGCCCACTGGTGGCTATCAGAGATTCACATGTCGCGAGCAAGAGGCAATAGGCACATTCACATGTCAAGCCAGAGACGCAACTCTCCAAAAGCACATCCAAAGCAGCACATCCAAGGCAGCATATCCGCGATCCAATGGTTCAGAAGTCAACACCACCTCCTTGTCCTCTTTCCCCCCCAAGAAAAGGACCGTGACACTTTTTGCTTTTATTTTTCTGACGATTTTTTTTTTCCGGCGTAAGAGCGTCCGCCCCTTTGATGTGCATGAGAGCGTGTGTGTGTGTGTGTGTGTGTGTGTGTGTGTGTGTGTGTGTGTGTGTGTGTGTGTGTGTGTGTGTGTGTGTGTGTGTGTGTGTGGCATGGCATGGAAAAGGGGCAGTGGGAGTGGTCATGGCTGGCACTGGCAGTGGGTCATGGCTGGCATAAAAAGAGGCAGTGGCAGTGGGTCATGGCATAAAAAGAGGCAGTGGGAGAGGTCATGGCTGGGTTGTAGTGGCGTGTTTGATTTTTTGGGGTGGTGGTCCACTACGTGCTTGTTGAGGATCGTTCTCTGGCTCTGGCGCTGGCTCGGGTGGCGTGGACGGTTCCGCTTGCGGCGACTTGGGCGCATCAGTGGGACCTGATCGGCCTCGATGTTTTGCACGTAGGGTCGGTGGAGCGCGAGCCAAGACACCAGCATCATGGAACCAAGTACGACGCTGCAACTCAGCTTTGCCTGCAAGGGCCTCAAGAAGCTTGATCTCACGTCCCAGTCTGATCCCGGTACGCGAGCCCCCGCCTTTTGTATCTCACCATAGCCACCCACCACACTCCACGGCACTCTCCTCATCGGTGCACGTGTACCATGGTCAATACTCCTGGTCCTGGTCACCACTCCTGGCGCTGACGGTCGCTGGAGACAGTGGTCATCATGTATCACGAGGTGGCTGGCAAGATGACCGAGCTGGGCCGCACTGAGCGCATCAAGAATGCCTCGGATCCACAGTTTGCAACCGTTCTCACCACGCCCTACTTTTTTGAGCGACGTCAACCCGTGCGCTTTGCCGTGTACGTACTGTGTGGTCTCCAGCCGACTCTCTTCCATATGCCAGTGCGGAACACGCATCAAACACAGCAGTCACCACCCTGTCTTTGCCGAATACTCCTCTTCTTCTCTGTCCTCCCTAACACTTCCTTCCGGTCATCCCGTCCATCATTGAATCTAGGTATGACATGGATGGCTCATCTCAAGAGCTGCGCGACCACGACCTCATTGGCGAGTGCGAAACCACCATTGGGGCTCTGGTTGGCGAGCACGGCGGCACCTTGCATGAACAGCTGACCTACAAGGGCAAGAAGCGAGAGCGTGGCTCCCTGACCGTCGTTGCCGAAGAGGTCAAGGCTGCGGCCGGCGAAGCCATCTTCCAGATTCAAGGCACCAAGCTTGACAAAAAAGACTTTTTCGGCAAATCCGATCCTTTCTTCAAGATCTTTAGGTCCGGCTCCGGCTCACTTGGCTCAACTTCACCCGCTCTCAGGCACACATCTCAAACCATACAACACCGTCCCTCATTGATTTTCATGGCATCGCCTTCGCATCTGCATTCAATTCGCCCTGCTGTGCCGTCCTCTGCCACCATCATCCTTTCACCAGGCAAAGCGGGGGCGGATGGACCTGCGTGGGAACGTCCGAGGTGATCATGAAGAACCTCGATCCCGTCTGGCAACCCTTTCGCTTGGCCATCGGCAAACTATGCAATGGCGACGATCAACGTCCCCTCAAGTTTGAGGTTTACGACTGGGATTCCGATGGTGGTGCGTGCTTCTCCAATCCCCCGATGGGACTCCACATCTGCGCACAGACCCACCGTGTCAACACATGCATAATTCATAGGCCACGATCTCATTGGCATCTGCGAGACCACGCTTGCCCAGCTCAAGAGTGGCACACAGAAACTCGAGGTTGGCCCTTCGCGACACTTTCCCCGTCCACCATCTTTGCGTGTTCTCATCCAAGGGCTCTTCCCTTCCTCAGCTCATTAGAGCCAAGAAAGTCGGTCGCAAGAACTACACCAACTCGGGCGTGCTTACCATTCGGTCTGAGGCTCGCTTTTTTTCTGCGCCTTTACCCCTTTCGTTTTGAAATGCACCACTCCCTTGCTTGAAATACACGGCTGGTTCTTTGCCTCCTCATTCGGGCCCTGCTATTTGGTCCCACCTGTGCAAACTCGGACACATTCTGCAGCACGAGCATTGAGGCCTCGTTCACCTTCCTGGGTAGGGCTACCCGTGCGGCGCCAAATCGAATCTGTACATCGCTTACTCCGCTTCTCACCGCATCCGGTCCGGCGATTGGCACCCGACTCGGCAGATTTTTTGCGCAATGGTTACGGCATCAATGTCAGCTTTGCCGTCGATTTCACGGGCAGCAACGGTACGCATGCAAATGACCCGACACGGGACTGGTCACCAAAGGCGCTGAAGGGGGGGAAGGAGGGGGTGTTGACAGGCTCTAATAATACATGTGCTTTTGCAACATCCAGGAAGCCCCAAGATGCCCTCCTCGCTGCATTACATGAATCCAATGGCACCCAACGAGTAAGCCCTTGACACTGCCATGTCACTGCCATACTCCTTGCTCACCCAACATTCCGCAAGAGAAGGGAAAGTCGCGCCAGCGAGTGCTTCTCCAACTCACGACTTATTCTGGGCCTTTGCCACTTGCTGGACCTTCTATAGGTACATGCAAGCCATCATGGGCATCGGTACCATTTTGGCCGACTACGACTCGGACAAGCTCTTTCCTGCGTTTGGCTATGGTGCCAAATTTCCTAATGGCACCGTGAGCCATGACTTTGCCCTCAATGGCAACGGTGACAATCCCTTTTGCTCCGGCGTCCCGGGCGTCATCACCGCCTACCAACAGGCTTTGCACACTGTCGATCTCTGGGGCCCTACCAACTTTGCCCCCATCATCTCGCGGATGGCCGGCATTGCCGAAGCACACAGCGAGCGCCAATACCACGTCCTGCTCATCATCACAGACGGTCAGATCACCGACATGGCCGATACCAAGATGGCGATCATCAAGGTAGGTTTTGGTCTAGAATCCCACCTCAACTGGCGCTCAGGTGTTGATGCCCATATGCCTGACTCGGGGATCCGCCCCACCTCTGCCCGACTTTAGGCATCCCGCCTGCCCATGTCCATTGTGATCATCGGGGTTGGAGGTGCTGATTTCAGTTCCATGGAGGAGCTGGATAGCGATCACCAGGCTCTAAGCCACAACGGCATGCGTGCCCAGCGCGACATTGTACAGTTTGTTCCCTTTCGCCAGTATGCATCGCAAGGCCCACCCGCTCTGGCACAGGTATGACCAGCACAAGCCGACTTGTGGAAAAGGCCCGCCTGCTGCCCTCACAGGCTGCTATTAAATATGTTCCTTACACTTGCTGAAAACATGCACTCGGTGCCATAGGCGGTCCTTGCAGAGATTCCGTCGCAATTTTTGTGCCATATGAAAGATAACAACATCCGCCCCTAGGCTCAGCCTCGGGGGCGATGGTGAAAATAATCGCGCTCTGCCTATGCCAAGTAGTGCAGTTGCGTGCGGTCTTCTTCGAGCCGCTTTATATACTCCTTATCAATCAAACCCTACTCACGGCACATCCAGTCCAGTCACCACAACAACAGCGTGAGCATGCCGCCGAAAAGCATAACATGGTCAGGGAAAGCCTCAAGGCCTGCGACTCAGACTTCAATCACACGGGAAAAAAGCAGCAATCACCAACCTCAATACACTTTTTAATGCTTGGCACTGTCGGTTTGAACAGCCGACTGGACTGCTGGATCGTCTCCTACCCAAAACCGCAAAGCCAGCCCCGAAGTCATGAGGTCATGAGCGTGCTCTTGTTTGAGCTGTGAAGCATGTCACTGGGGGCAAGCGTCCATACCTGTACAAGCTCATTATACTTGAGAGCCTTGCGTGTTTTCATGATGCGGACGATGATGGCCTCCAACACCATGCGGCGATCTTCATCGACCGCCTTGTGGGTCTGCGCGGTTTCCGACTGCGTTTCCTTGGTGAGCGGGGTGGAAATCTTCAACTTGCGCTTCTTGTTTTTGAAGCGCAGGTTGAGCGTCAGCGGTTCGTCATCCGCTGCACGGTGGTCATGCGGTCACAAGAAAGTCGATGAGTCAGGTGGGTCAGCAACGGTGAGGTGATGGGTGGCGATGGTAAGCAATGCATCCATCACTCTGGCGGCGAGCAATCCCCAGCTCAAAGGAAAATGGGGGCACGCAGCGCAGGACAGTGCATGCTCAAAGACGCACCGAGATCAGCAGCCTTGTCATTTGTTTCAGGTCCAATCAGCAGCCGGCATGTAATCAGGGACTGAAGAACACGATCTGCATCCTTTTTGGACATGCCCAATCGATTCTGAATGTCCTTGGACGAAAATGATTCTTGCGTATTAAAGGCCAAGAGTGTGCACATCTGCCACCGCCAGGCCGAGAGAGCAATTCGGGAGGATGCGTCAGCTTGATGGCTGCCGTCAAGAGCGGGTACGCACAGTTTGATAAAGGACAACTCGCAACTCTTGGACACCGACCTGAAAAGTGGTGGCACTCAACTCGTACACTCCCTTGGGCAGCTTGGCTTTGATGTCTCCAGTCGACACGTGGTACAACCAGTTGAGCTTGCGACCTGAATGAGCATGCTGTGGAAAGTCGGACACAAAGCAGAAAACACGGGGTGAGGTTGGCTTTCAGTGGATGGCGATAGTCTGGTCGTGGGTATCGCTGCACCTACCGTGTAAAACTGCTCAAACTTGTAAATGGCGTCGCTCAAGGGCGGTGGCAGCAAAATGGCTGGGGGATTGCTGCCGAAGGGCCATGCGTTGGTGCGCAGGATCAAGGCCTCAAAGGAAAAGGGCAAGGTTCGGCCCATGTTGGACTGCCGAAAGTTGCGCAGAAAGTCTGTGGAGACCTGCACATCCTGATGCATGCGTTGCAACTTCAGGGTGTACTCAAAGCCGCACTCAGCTTTGAGGCGCCCGATCATGTTTGCCTCCATCTAAACAGGCAAAGGGGATGGATGAGCTCGAGGCCGCCCAACGAGGCTATTCGATGATGTTTGGAGACGAATTTTGGGACCAAGAAACGAACTGCTTCGGAAACAGAGGTGCCATGAATCAGTCGCTTGGCAAAAGCTTTCGTGAAAAACTTGAGAAACACGTCCTTGTCTTGTAAAAAAGAGAAGATGAGCATCTGCAGCCCATGGTACCAGGTTCATGCAGCCGGCGTCACGAACAGACACAGCGACGTGAGCACTGGGTCAAGTGGAGCATGCTGCAAAACCAGCTGATCACCACGAACAATATCTTCCAAACGGCTATCCAGCTCCTCTTCGACTGCACCCTTGGTCTTGCGTAGGGCTAGGTCACAGCCCCTGGCCAGTAGCTCGGCCGGCTAGACCGGGTGGAAACACGATGATGCAGGCCGTGAGCAACCTGGTGGGCGATTGCTTGGATGGGCTAAGAGCTGACTCTCGAACATTGGCCGTGCATGTACCGAGAGGCGTTTGGGAAGCGAGGTATTGACGATGGTGGCACAGCTCCGGTCCAATGATTCACTGAATTTGCTGCTGCTTTGAAAGCAATCATTTGTCAGTTCGCGACCTTTGGCATGCAGGTCCACGACGCGCGCAATGAAATCTGTTGGATTCTGTGGAGAGTATGGTCGTCAGTCGGTGAGAAGGCTGGCCAGTCTCTTGGTCATGATGCAGGAAGGCGGCCGAGACCATATGAATGCACGGACCGGGGGTGTCGCGGCAGAACAACCGAGGGCTTGGACGTCCTGCATGCCCACAGCTGTCATCCGGGCCTGGAACAGATTGGTTATACCGTCGAGACAATCGGCACGCAACAGCAGCTTGTAGCACGCAGACAGATCCTTGCGGTTGTCGCGCTCCAAGGAAACCTGGCGTGCAAGCAATGATGGTCAGGACTCGGCGCACCACAGGCACAGACAACAGGTCAACGGGTGATCATGGACTCGGTCGTGCGGAATAGCAAAATACATGCCCACCTGAAATTGGGTTTCGAGCTGGGCCTGGTGATTCGAAATGAGGCAACGGTGGCACACGGCCAAAATTTTCTCATGGCTGATGGTCGGGACTGCCGAGCGAAGTCTGGTGTCACAAAAGTCACAGAAAGCCACGAATCAAGATGCATCGAGTTGATGAGCTGCAGGCTAGTAACATAGTGCCGAAAGGCTCTTTCGGCATCGGCAGAGTTGACAAACAACAATAGCGAGAATTTCAAACGAGCGAACCGTTGTTCTTCCTGTTCCAAAATCTCCGTGACGCGGACCAGATAGGCTGAGCGATCCTCGCCTTCGAGGAGGCGCAGGCCCAGCGCTTTGTAATGGTCGTCGGTATTTTTGATCCATGGCGTTTCAAATTCATCAATGTACAGTTGGTGCTGTTCCGAATTTTTGCGGTCTGTGCACATGTCGGTGAGCGAGCGCAGTGTCGCCTGCACGTTGAAGAGTTCCACGTTGCCAGTTTCGCGATGCTGTTCCAGCTGTATACAAAGCAATATTTGGTCAGCGAGGACATCTGCAGGTTCAGTTGCAGGCAGAAGCGAGGGAAGAACAGCAGCAGCAGCAACAACAACAACAAGAACAAGAACAACAACAAACAAAAAACACCCTCGCACAACGAACCTCGATCATGCAGGCATGGATGATTTGTTTGGACATGGGCATGTATATGGTTTCTCGCCACACTTTCATGCCGAGTTGGTTCAGCTAATGACCATCATCAGAGCAGCCGCCGGGCGGAGGAACAAGATGAGGCGTCAGCTGCGACGAGGCAGCGGAGCTGACTGGATGGATGGTGGGGCGGGCGGCGAAACCAGCAGGACGTACGGGCAAACGAGCAGAGCTCCCGGTAAGCGGGCTGGGCAGAGCGGAGGTGTCTTGCTGGGACACAGATTTATTTAAATGACTGACATGCAGCCCGACGCGCAGGCGCGACAAGAACAAGCACGCGAACAATGACCACCACGACAACAAAAAAAGGCACGGACAAGTCGTGGCGACCGTACACAGGCGAGTGAAGGAAATGGCAGGCAGCGAGGATGTGAGACGTTGCCAAAGGGCCGAGCAAGGGAAAAAAATCTCGTGAGCTGAGAGGCAGACTTCGAGTCATAAACACGCACTCAAAGGCCATGTTGGCATAGGTGATGCCACTGGCATATTCCTGAAAATGATTTCGGTAAGCGTCGAGGCGCTGCTCGCCAGGCGCTGCCTCAATGAGCTAATGGCAGCAGGCAAACGGGTGCAGTGGTCAAGCAGAGGAGGGACGGCAAGCTTGGGCGCGCCGGGCATCAGAGCAGCAGCCACGAAGGTGCCTGCGAACGGGCCGACGGTGCGTGTGCGGTTGCGAA